TTCCGGCGCTTTGCGACGCGCCTCGCTTTCAGACTCCGGTGCGAGTCTTTCTTTCTTTTTGCTAATAGAAGTTCCAAATCTTCTGATTAGCTCTGCTTTCACAACTTCGTAGTTGTTCGCGTGCTGCTCACTGAGTCGCGCAACAACATCCGCTGCCTCGCAGGGCAGAACCGTGCGTAGCTTCTGAGACCAGGTGTCTCGCTCACACTTCAGTTGACTACACTTTCGTTCAAAGAGTCTAAGATACAGGCCCATATCCCATGATACCTCATATGGCTGCATGTACCTAGACATCTCGAACTCTGCCTCCTTTTCGAGAAGTACTCCTCGCTGGGGTCCCATTCTCATACGCAACTCATAGTCTTGTTCGAAAAACTTTCTCTTGAGGCCTTTTCTTTCGTGTTCACTCTTTCCTTCCATCTGAGCTGCTCTTAGTTTTCTTTCGATGATGAGGTCCCATTCTTCACTTAGTTCCTCATCATCAGCCCCCAAATCATTAATCGCTTGAATGATTATGGGTTTTCGTGCCAAACCCTTTGTATCGATCCCCAATTCCTCACACAACAGCAACAAGTCTGACATCTGCAGCTCCCGTAAGTCCATGATCGTACTGAGTGCTCGCTACTTCCAAAAAAACTTTCCGAAACGGCGAAACTGAGTCTTTCGGCAAAGTTAACTACCAGTTCTAAAATTTAATCCTCTTTTAGAACCTGGTTCACTCAAAGGAAAAGCCAAGCACTCACCCATACGTGATCCATGTCTCGAGCCAACTGCTTCTCTTGGGCCGACTGTTGTTGTCACTTGTAGCTTCGAATCCCTCCGCTGCCAACCAGTTGTCGAGATCCCAGGGGTTCTGTGTCGTATCTCACCGCTGACGACCAGTTGTCGTGATCCCACCTCCGATCACCAGTTGTTGTGATCCCGGCGCTGATCACCAGTTGTTGTGGCTCGGGGTGCTGTAGGTAGCGTGGTGTAGCTTCGGGTTGAGGAAACGAACGCTTACAAGATGGGGATACGAAAAACAAACAGGGTTTATGGCACTATTTACAAATATTTACAGCATGAAAGGTTAGGAGTTCGCAAACCACGAACGTGGTGGTTGAACCTTTACTTGGTCCAGAGCTATCACAAACTCGTACGTGGTGGTTGAACCTTTACTGGGTCCAGAGCGACGTCCTGCACTCTGCGGCGCCGTTATAAGCCCTGTCGGGCTCCTCCTTCTTCAGTGGAACACCAATCACATACACACACAACAGGTGAGGGGTACGAGCAGGCACGGCGCACGTGAACAGCCAATTTCGAGTCAAGATCACTGCACTTAAAGGTGGCGCCAGAGGGGCTCTTGCTCGTCGTGTGTGTCACTGGTCGAGGGGTCCCAAGCTTCGGACAGCAGACATCAAATGGTCCGCCAATCTGTCTGCTCAATTAGCAGGACACTTTGTGGCGGCGGTCGCCGTTTCTACAAAGGAAGACGCTGTCTTTGTTGTCCCCTCTGGAACGGCTTACCGCTTCGTGGCGACGTGACGTCTCATCCGCTGGCTAGCAGGGACAATGCCTGGCGGGCATAGGCATTCGGCGAGCCGGCTACTTGTTTGAAGATTAAAAGAGCGCCGCTCCCCCGTCATCTCTCGACGCTGGTTCCGAGAATACTGGAGTTCCAGGCGTGGGAACGCGGCCCGGCTACGCTTCTCAGCGACAGCATGGCGCCTGCTGACGCCGGTCATAACAGTGCTCATTCCAGCAGCAGGCTGGTGCGCATCGATGTACTCAACGCACGACGCGGCTGCAAAGACGCAGTGATCAAGTTGCAGGCACGTTAACAAACGGTGGCTATACCGCACTGCGCTGACGGTGCCCGATATCGTCGGTTTCTAATTCGTAGGGCACAGCGCGTGGGCTATTGCGAACAGGACAAGAAACAAAATTCTGCACAAGAATGAAGCCGAACTGTTTTTATGGTAAATATACCGATCAATTTTGGTCTGCGGATTCAAGTACAAACTGTTTCAACGTGTAATGCGCCCACTATTCTGTTCAATGGTATGTTCCTAAATTGCTCTGTATAGCTGGCAAGAACTCTAGAAACCTTGCATAAACTATGTGATAGAGCAATTAACTCGTGCTAACCAATCCGATATATTTGCTGCACCACGTGGCGCAAAATATTGTTTATTGAAATAAATGGAAGAAATTTCGAGGTTATTCGTGTTGCCCGGAACACTCACTATTTACATCTTGAACAGCGCTGCGTTAGAATCAATCACCTGCTGTGAATAGCTATTTGTGGCTATAACTGAAGGAAATATGTGTAAGTATTAAGGCTTACTATACAAGATTAATGTGAACTAAGAGACAATAATGCCAGGGAAAGTATATGGCCTGACATTAGAAGTAATTGTAATGTAAATGTCAAGAAAGGAAAGTGGACGCAAAGATAACTTGCCACCGACAAGGACCGAATCTACGACCTTCAAAATGTGCCCCGCCGCAGTGGTCTAGTGGCTAAGGTACTCAGCTGCTGACCCGCAGGTCGCGGGATCGAATCCCGGCTGTGGCGGCTGCATTTCCGATGGAGGTGGAAATGTTGTAGGCCCGTGTGCTCAGATTTGGGTGCACGTTAAAGAACCCCAGGTGGTCGAAATTTCCGGAGCCCTCCACTACGGCGTCTCTCATAATCATATGGTGGTTTTGGGACGTTAAACTCCACATATCAATCAATCAATCCTTCAAAATGTAACAGGCCCTAAACCTTATACTTGTCATCATTGTCTGTTAGTTCTTGTTAAAAATAAAGGGACCCTTAAGCTTCGCCTTTAAGAGTTGAACGCGATAGTGATATTCGGTTCCTATAGTGCGTCCTTCAAACACTTAGTGTAGGAAGTATTTTCGAGCTTTCTATGCACCCACCGCGTGGCCTTCAGGGCGTGGTAGCGTGTGTGCCTTTTGTAACGGATGACTGACTTTAACTGTGAAGTCACGATGATTCTTTGTTCTGACGCCCGATGGCAATGTCCGCATGTACCACGCATTATTACGGCGGTATGCCATGTTGTATTGTGAAACGTGTGCACAGGACGTGTGTGTCAGTAAAGCGTAAAAGTTACTTTCACTGCGTTTCCAAGTGGAGGAAGTTACTTTCACTGCGTTTCCAAGCAAAGGAAGTTACTTTCACTGCGTTCCCAAGCGGATGAAGTTACTTTTACTGCGTTTCCAAGCGGAGGAAGTTACTTTCACTGCGTTTCCAAGCAGAGGAAGTTACTTTCACTGCGTTTCCAAGTGGAGGAAGTTACTTTCACTGCGTTCCCAAGCGGATGAAGTTACTTTTACTGCGTTTCCAAGCGGAGGAAGTTACTTTCACTGCGTTTCCAAGCAGAGGAAGTTACTTTCACTGCGTTTCCAAGCGGAGGAAGTTACTTTCACTGCGTTTCTAAGCGGAGGAAGTTACTTTCACTGCGTTTCCAAGAAGAGGAAGTTACTTTCACTGCATTCAGAGGTAGGTAGAGTAATCGCTTGCTACGCAAACCGCCCGGGTTCGATTCCCACTCAGACCGGGAATTTTTCATTATGTATGTTTTATTTATATTTCTCAAATTTTTGGTCACGAAAAGATTGCCGATTTTTCAGTCATGCAAAGATGATGATTTTTTGCTCACAACCAACAACGCCGACGCTGGAATTTCTGCGAAACAAGCTTTTTAACGCTATCGCGCTAATATATGTTGCTATGTAATATAAACAGGAAGCCTGCAATATTAACTACAAGCACACTGCTAGCATAGCAGCCACGAAATCCAACCTATATTTTCAGTCTCTAACAGCGCATTAAATTTTGGCCGTTCGAACTTACTTCATAAAATATACCGTGGTAGAGTCCATCAGAACGCATTTATTATTTTTTTCCACAGCTCTATGCTCCGTATTGACGTGGTTAATTTTATGAAGAAGGTATCATGACAATTATTTCAAGCGTGAAGCTTCTGTACTGCGCGCAGTTAAGGAGTGGAATAACCTCTTTACCGGTAGAATGGTAATCATCACTGTTTTAGTGAGCACAAGTAGTACACTACTAGATGATTGTTGATGTGTATTTTTTTTCACTCACTGTACTCTGTTACTTTTTTTGCTTTTGTTTTATACACTAGCTTGTGCAATGCTCTTCGCCTTGCAGGTAAATAAATAAATAGATAGATAAATAAATAAAAAGTTTTTGCAAGTAACTGTGTGTTGAAGACCAATCAAGATGAAAAAAATTGTTCTGTTATTTTTGTTTTTGATATTGAAAGATAATATTAGAAGTCTACTCAAGGTATCGGTTTTGCTCCATTTGATTAGGAATGTGGCGATAAAGCTAAATAGCATAGCTACTTAGGCTAAGTTTGCCTCAATCCTAGCTGCTTTTCAAACCTGCCCAGTGGCTACCCGGCCTCCCACCGTCATGTGCCGTCGCTCTTACTTCACTGATAATAAATCTCGGTCGACAACATGATGTGGTTTGCGGTATGAAAAGGCTTTTTTAAATCTAAAAAAGAGACCAACGGTTTACATAATTTCGATTGAATGTTATTAATTATTTCAGGTTTAGTAGAGAGTAACACTTCTTTAGGGGATCTCCTCTTTTTAAACCGATATTGAACATCGGACATGACGTATATTTTCGAACAAAACTACTATTGCGGACGTTTATGATTGTCTCAAACATTGCAGACAAAAATCGGTTGTACCGATATGGACCGGTAATTGCTCGAAGTGTAATCTGCGCTACCTTAGTGCACCGGGTACATTCTAGCCATCTTAAGTGTTTCTGGGGAGACTGATGCTAGAGCGCGAACTCCCCCCCCCCCCCCCAAAAAAAAAACCAATTGCGTGCCAAATTTGTGTCCCACCGCAGTCGCTGGACTTTGGCAAATTCGTATGAACACTATAAACGATGAACATATATGTATTTTGAAGAAAATAAAAGTCGAAACTGAAACCTATACTTAAAGTGTTTTCATTTGCAGATCGGTGTGAGGTTGTTCGCTGCGCTCGTTCGAAAGCAGGCCGAAGAGTGATAAGAAGATGAGCGGAGAGGAACATGGAGGCCTTGTTGATCGCCTTCTTCGTGATTGGCTTGGCGATGGTCTTGCTCAGCGTCCGCTGCTGTTGGGTTCTAATGAAGATCTGGACAGTGCGACCACCGTCCAACACGATCCAGGAACAGGAACTGCCAGAAGATCGTGACGATCGACAAGTCGAGTTCTCGGAATGGACAAACGCGGTCACGTGAAGGCTCCGCTGAGGTAACGCATCTCTGCGTTGCGTGAACGCATAGGTGCTTAAAGCCAGAAATCAACACGATGACAGCGTCATTTCGTGTCACTTTTATGGGGAGGAGGGGAACGGGGGTTGGGGAAATGCTACTACATATGGTGATAGCCTGGCATACCTGGCAGCCAGGGGCTTCTCCTAAGTGTCTCATTCATCTTAGAACTTCCTCAAAGGACCGTGGATAGATTCCAAGAAGCTGGTTATGCTTTTTTTTTGTCTGGACATTTTCGCGGGCGCAAGTCTCAGCTACTTATTGATTTACGCACGAATATACAACTTGGCATACATTTTGTTTGAACGAAGTTGGAACATACGTTATTTTTTATTGGGTAGAGTTTTCATTCAGGATTACGGTGCCATGCATATTTACCACATGACGCTCTCGGTGAAATACATTTATCCTAAAAAAAAAAGGCATACGTAATGTTTAGTATATAAAGACTAGGTATGATACTGACATAATCGCACATTTGAAATCGCCTCTCCGATGTACACAAAGAAGTTTTCATCAATATTGATTCAAGTCATAAAAAAGTTTTAAACATCCATGTCCCGTACTGTGAAAATTCGGCCGCCGTTTTAGGAGTTGATGTTGATACGACGTGCTTCGTATATATATATATATATATATATATATATATATATATATATATATATATATATATATATATATATATATATATAAGATCATGGCAATATGATGTGGCATCCTTTACGGTTTGGGATGCTATATACAAAATACATGTTTTTTTCTGAACACTATATTTCATGTCATTTACGTGTTGTTGCTGTTGCTACCCATTTTTCTTTAATCCACTTCAGAGTCACAGCGTATAAAACACGCCACAGAACATATTTATCGACGCATGCGTGACATGCCTCTGAAGGCATAGTATATATAGCACAGCAGTTTTTCATTTTCATGGGCTTTCTTTTTAAGCCGATATTTATAAGGCAAGTAAATAGACTTTTCTGATTTTACCGAGATCACATGTTTCGTTGTCTACGGTTGTTTAATTGCCGCTGTCACAATCGGGACAGTATTTATAATGCTAAATGACGTGTCCTAAATAGCTGATTGAATGTCATGAAAAACTACACGCCTGCTGATGAGAACTCCATTACTTGGGGTACAATGTGTGCATTTTTTAGGCTTAAAATGAGTCCCCCTCAATCCAATATTTTCTTATATTTTTGTGCAAGTGCTTGATAGCTGTATATATATGCGGTTTGAACCGATAAGTCGTTTCCGTGTTCCAGAGTATGCCGTGTTTGCGAAGCTGATAACGATACATGTGAAATCGCCGCGACAGTTCTGACCGTGTTTTTGAGGCTGCAGCAAAACGAAGCTCCTTCCAAGCTCGGAAAGTTTCCTGCAGTGGTCTCACAGTGCAATGTGTGCACTCTTCCCCAGTACCATCTACATAAAAAGTCGCCCCAGAGCGCACACACCACAAGGAAGGCACGAGTTTTATTGCTCCTCCGATTAATCTGGCTCCGTCGACTCCTGTGTTTGTCTTGTGCCCCTATTGAGTAACCTATATTACCCCCATGGGTCGACGCTGAGAACCAGGGAAAATAAAAAGCAAGTTTGACGCTCGACAACCGCTAACAAGGTCGAAACATCTATTACGAAACACAAAAGGCCTAACCAATCGGACTGTTTAACTGTGACATTGTTTCGTGTTGCGCGACGAAAGGCCCCGCCTAACCGCGTGTAAACCAGGAAGACAAAGGAAAACGTGTGATAAGTGAACAGCTGACCATCGAGCCACGCAACCGCCGCAGGTGCATGCAGTCCGAAGACAACAAGGCCTGCAGCGCGCGTCAGATCTCCGCGAAGCTTCGGTACCCACTGCGCTGATAAGATAACGCCACTGCGGAGGGACGCCGCGAGGCCCACCTCGAGAGTCCTGACGCTCCTTTCGATAAGGGCGTCGTTTATGTCCTTTCCACCGGGTCGGCCTCCTCGGCGCACTTGCCTTTCAGAGCAGGGGACGTCCCCGCAGTCTTCCGATGCCGTCGTGAACACCTGATTTAGCGTCCCCACTCCTGCAATCTTGAGCCGATGGCAAGCAGCCCCAAGGCGAGGCGACTTCAGTGAACAGGTCTGTAAGGATCAACGCCTGCCCTGCTGTCACGCTACAGTTCTTCGATGCACGTCGGTACTGCTAGGTTCGTATGCACTTCGCCCATCGCGGAGAATGTGACCTGCCTTATCTGTACACGTTAATGTCGCTTTCGACTGGATTTTAACCTAAGGAAGCTCTTTTCGTTTTAGATCATGCCGTGAACTAGCGATGCCATGTAAGATAAGGTAGTTATACCATCTTCCAAGGTAAACGTCGAATGCGTTGAAACTATTTTGTACTATGGAGCATTTAACCCGGATGCATCTGATTATACACTTGAAAAAGGCGAGCCACACTTTTCCGAAGAAAAGATAGTATGAAATTTCGCCGACGATAGTGTGAGGTAAAAATCCGGCAGGGTGGGGTGATAATCGCAGCGCAGATCGGACCCAGAGTGTACTTATGATCATCACTACAGCAGGGCCTTGTAGCGAGTGACATGTTCTATGTTATCAATTTTTGCAAGATGGGCTGGTGACTGGCATCGAGTCGCTTCCATAATGAATGATGAACCCGTGATTGCAATGTAGCGCATCATATAGGCCATGAATATCTGCGAAATGGCTCCAGTAAGGTGAAGTGATCTTTTTCCGTGCATGAGCGTTTTTTTTTTTGTATTCTGTACTAAATATTCTGCCGAAGGTCAGTTTTTCTTTAAACTGGCCTTCTAAGAAATTTAGATACATTTTGAGAGATCACATCCTGTTCACAAAATCATGGTATGATCAGAATTGGCCCTTTCCCCACGCTAACGTCGCTTGTAAGAGTGAATAAGCTACGAACTCCTGAAATTTTTTGTTGAAGTTTTTAAAACATGCTAATGGCCTTAAATAAAGAATGCTTTCGAAACGCGAGCGTGTATGCTCTACCTATATACACGTGAAGTTATGTTTAATGTATAGTGCAGTGACAAGCAATTATGGTTTATTGCAAGCCTCCATGTCAGCTTTTGTGTACTCGAGAACAAGCACTTGTTCTGGCAGATCAATTGACGTGTCTATGACAAGACCACTAGACAGTGCAAAGACTGAATAGTTTACACATATCTAAGCTCCTTCTTTTAATAAAAGTAAAGTAAAAGAAGAAAATTGATGCTGGGTACGAAAGCCCGCATAGAAGGAACACCCAAATTTTCGTAGAAAATGGTTTTTCGCACTGCAGTTCCACGTTTCTGTCACCGGGAAAGTTTGACAACTCGCTGCGTAATCGGTGCCGAAAGCCACTGCATGTTTATCATTTTTTCCCGGAGGGCCAAAAAAACCGTTTATCTCTCAGTTCACGTGCCACGATGATATTACTGAGGAGCACATTCACTTCACTTGTTTCGACTGCCCTGACGAAAGAAGCAGGAAACCTTGCACGTGTCCTCCACGCGCGCCAGTTCAGGGCAGTTAATCACTTTGTTCATCTGCCGTTAGGAGGTGCTCGCGCAGATAGCCAGAGATAAATCGGCGATTAGAGAAGTGAACGTGTTGGGCTCGTGAAGTAGTCTTGAAACCATTACTATCGCTCTTTGCCCTTTTCTGTTTTTTTTAAGACGAGGAAGTATATGATCACTGCTTGAGCACTCTAAGGGGGGGGGGGGGTAGTTAAAATGATGCGCCGTTTTCGGCAGGGTATAAAATAGCAGCTGCCCATCAGCGGTAAATGGCACTGTAAACATGGTTGCTTCGAAGGCAGCCACAGGAAGGTCGCGGTAGTGCAGGTTGGTTGTAGTACTTTCAGGAAACATTCTACAATAAGAACGATATTTTTGGAGATGTTTTGATATTGGGTTAAGAATTGCGGACGAGAATGATTGAGGCTTGTATCTGTGACTTGTTCGGGCCACTGAGTTTTTTTCTTTCCTTAGCAGTTTCCTTCATATGCATTTCTGTCATCTCCATTTCTATCTCTCTGTCCTTGGGGTGTATAGCAAACAGGATGCAGCTCAGCTCACTATATATATCTTGATTGTAAAGAACGAGATAAAGCACTTCGGTCGTAGACGACATTCATGCTGGTTGAAGTTCAGGATAGTTCTGGCAGCACTTTTATTAATCAGACAGCCCTGAAATACGCCTCTCACCTTCTGGAAATACAAGTTAGAAGAGTTTCTTCCGATACTGCATATATTTTAAAGACGAGCAGTAATGCTGTCAAAGAAGGAGGCTTGTTTTTTCGGAAAGTACTCCTAGTTTAGATACAGTATATATGGCGCTTAACGCCGCAGTACCACAGGCACGTCTTCATATGTAGAGACGTGTCATTCTCGACTATATTTACTATAGACGAGCAATGACACGAGCAGGACTATACAAGGGTGCAAGAGACTATACTAAATCACGCTGTCGATGCGATTTGATCGTACATCTCCAGTATCATTGTAGTTTCGACGCCACTGTTCTGGTTTTCAGTGCTATCGTGCCAACGAAGAGTTCTTCGCATGACTTAAGCCTATTCAACTAGTTTCAGTGTTGCCCTCTCTCACTATTTCACGCAGGTTGAGCTGCAAGCGTTCCAGCGACACACATGCGTCTGACTACAACGAACTTCGACAAACTCTAAGTGAAACGGCAGGACGCCGTGCTGTGCTCTGACAGACCGGGCACAGCCGTTTGTAGAGCGGTGTGTTTCTTGCGGAATCACATCCAGCCACACGCGCCGAAGCAGCAGGAGAAGGTGTAATGCGGCAAGGTGCGCGGTCATGCACTTGCTCCTTCTACTGGCCATCGTCCTCGTCGTCCTGGTCCTGCTGAGCGTGACAGTGTGCCTCTGCTACGGCCTCAACTCTGATTCCTGCATGGCGGCCTTCAAACTCAACTCGGCTGCACACAGCGTGGCCGGATTGTACAACAGCTACTCGGATGCTTTCTCAACTAATGACGTCAGCAGCACCGGAGTCCCGCCAGTGGGCAGGCGTAACTGCGGGCTGGCCGAGCAGAGTCGGTCTTACTCGAGCGTCATCGAGCTGTACGACAGTACATGGCACGTTAAGGAACCGCCAGCTCCTCGTCATTGTCGCATGACGTCCGCAGCCGGTTGTCGCGCCAAGTCGGACGAGCAGCAGGAGCAACCCCAGCGGTGGTACGTCGGGGACATCCGAGAGGGCGACGTGGTGCACGGACAAGTGACGCTAGAGAAGTTCGACTTGGGGTGCAGCGATGCGTCGCTGTTGTCCCCGGATGTTCACGAAAAGAACTGCGTCCCTCCCTGTTCGAGGTTCACGAATGCGGCTACGGTGTCCCTACCCAGTGTGCTACTAAAGGGCGATGGTTGGAACCGTAGGGAATCGTGCTTCCCTTTAACGAGAATGGACGGTGCTGAGCGACTTCGCGTGGAAATGAGGTCGTGCAGTCTCTTAGATGAATGCTCTCGCAGCCGCCAGGTGTCACCGGTTGGCTCATGAATGAGCGAAGCTGTACCGGTATACCTGGTTCTGAGAATCTCGCGATGTCTTGTTCGATCCCGTTGTTTGATCCTCGCTGTAACGCCTGCAGGCTCGCGTTTAGGATTCGGACGTCTACGACTTTCGATTAAAGCGCTGCGATTGTTTTTTACGTCTCTAAGAGCATGATTGTGTTCTCGCAACACTTTCGTACCGCTGAACTGATGAGACACAACTTTTTTATGTATTTTACGAGAATTTCGTCGGTGAATTTGGTGGTGCAACATTGCAGCAAAGCTGTTGGTGAAACGGTTGCTGCTGGGAAAATAACCTCCAGGTCACCTCTAAATGTATAGACGCGAACATATCGTTTGTATGTAGTTTCAAAAAGTAAAGCCTACCATCTCAGAGGCAACGTACCTCATGGACAGTTCTTCACATAGTTTTTTATGGTTTTGCATGCAAATCCAAAAAAGTAGAGTGTACCGTCTCAGAGACGTTGTCTCAAGTTTTTTTAACTTTGGTTTTGTACAGTTCACGATGCACTAGCAGAAATATGATTGATAATTTTGTCCATATAGCATAACGAATTTTTCCATAATTCACATTTCATGCGTCTTTAGATACATCGTATGCGCATACAGTGCATTTTTGAACGGAGCCATTGCAATCAGTAATATTCTCTGAGAAATACCTGAAGATATGTACTAACAGATCTCGAGACCACTTTACCCCTTCCTTCATAAAAGCGTTAATGTACATACGTACGTATTGGTTCTTGGAATGGATACACAACTGGTTTGATATCTGGACCATTCGATAGCTGCCTGTCCGTCTTGCTTCGCCGACTGCTGGCTTGAAGCTGACATGAACAACTTGGTGAGGGTTAGCGGATTCATATATAGACTTTAGGATTAAACAGCTGGACCACATAACACTTGTCTTTTTGTACTTGTTACATTGTATGCTTTTTGTAGTCGCAATGTTTCATGCTCTCTTCTAACGTGATCGTATACCGTCAGTAAAAGGAAAATCTTACAATGGATACTTTAAAACTTATCGAACTCATACCTATAAACATTTCTGTTCTGGTTCATTACCACCAGCGTGCACAAAGCTTTGTATACGGGGAAGGGGAGTTCTGTCGTGTTGCGCCCCCCCCCCCCTTACCATCATTGGTCGAGTCTGAAAAAGAAATAGCTTCTGGTGCAAAAATAAAGGTGGAAGCGATGACGTGCTGCTCTCTCGCAATGGCCTGCCTTTGATCCTAGGCCTTCCGTGGATTAAGTTGGGAACGAGGCAATTTTTGGGGTGAAACATCAAGTGTTCTTCGCCGCCATTATCGTCAAAAACCCGCGCACTGGTCAGCCTGAGTAAAGGTGGGATTAAACACTTAGCACCTCTGCTCAATTATTACGGAGGCAGCCGCAATTCCTACCCATAGGTGGGCGAAAGGGGGGAGGGGAACAGCTCCCCTTGTCACTTAAGAGAGAAGTGGCGCAGAATCTGCCCCCTACATTGACTCAGACGGGGGGGGGGGGGGGGTTGTGCTGTTATAAACATTTGCCCTCCTCTCCCACCCGGGAGGGGGACCGTGAGCACGCCTATGCCTCCTCGCCACTGTCCACGCCTATTATGTTCGTTACAACGCTAGCGCTGCTGCGTTCGATACCGCATACCAAGAAGTGGTTCTCGCGTCAACGACAATGCAGAACATTCTTCTAACGTTCTAAAGTCAATCTAGCCGTTGTGAAAGTTCGGTGGAGAGAACGTGGTTCGTAGCAGAAACCCGTACGACGGAATATTTAGGGCTGCTAGTGTTTTGAAGCAGGATAGTAAATGAAAGCGTTACTTGGTATGGACTTGGGATTGTGCCTTCCTCTCAGATATGTTCTAAAGCAACTTTTCAGATGTCAGCGACCACGATAGATGCACCCGATGTAACCAAGGTTGCTTTATGAAACGCCTTTATTCAACGAAATCAGTTTTCAGTGTTGCTTGCTGTTCCTTGCTACACGCAGGAAACGACGGGCGCCTGAAAGTTGAATTCATCCGTAAAACGATCGAGTGCACGGAATGAAATCACACGTTTTGCGAAAGTGACTTGTCATTTCATTTTGTACTTTCAGTTTACACATTCCTTATGAGCTAAGGCATTCTGACTAACGAAAGTATTTCTGCCGGACGCGCACAGCCATGGCCTTTCGTAGGGAATCCATGCCCACGACTCGGTCGACACAAGCGAAGCAGCGTCACACAAATGAGAGTACCGCACATGGCTGATGGCCTTCCGCCTCCTTTTCCTCACCTCTTTGCCATGAACCTCATACTTCTGCCATTCCCATCCTCTGTCAATGCCCGGTTGATCTTCCTCCGCGGACCCTAGAACGCCTCAAGACCAGAGTGGATTCAGAGACCCTACCGCGTTCAGAGGACTCGGTTGAGCAGACAGCAGCTGCCAACCGGGCTGCCAGGGTCATGGAGCACCACCAAATGAACGATTAAGCGCAGCGGGGCCGTGCGAAGGCCCAGGAGCCTGGGTGCTCCGAAAGCCTCTGTTTAAATAGTCCCCCTTTCCGCCCCTACCTCAACAGCTGCTCCTGGCGAGAGAGGGCAAAAGGCGATTGAGAGGCGGGCGGGAGGCCATCAGCCCGGTGCAAAGGGCCAATGCAGCTAGAGAGCTCTTCCAGCCTCTAGTGCGCGGCTTCAGGGCAAACAGGTCCTAAAGTTTATAGGACCTGTGAAGGGCGCTGCAGCCCTTATTTCCATGAAGTCCTAAAGGTTATAGCATGTCCTGTAAGCTTGTAATATAGCACTGTCGATTACTAAGCTGTCTATCGGGATTCACTTATCGGATAGGCGCAAGCATCAATGCAGTGTCAGCCAAGGTGCAGTAACCATGTTGCGTAGTTCGCAATCATCGTCTACATGGGGCACCGTCGGTATCACAGCCACAGTGACTATATAGCTGACAAGATGACCAGTAATCTTTCTATGCCTCATATCCCACCCCTTTTACCTCTAGGCCAGTTTTGACCGAAATTTTCTTCTGTGAGTACACGCGTGCCTTTCAACCCAATTTGTTTGCCCCCCCCCCTCCCCCTTCGAGAACAGGTTTTCATCAATGAGAACGAAGTTTTTAGGTTTAGCAGAGACTTTCAATTTCTTGGGTATATATAGTAATGATGAGTTGGTTGTGGAATATTGGGAACGATGATCATTGTAAATAAGCGAAAACAAATACGAGAGCGTGACAAACACGTGCACCAACACGTTTTCAGTCAACATCAGCGCATATACGTCTCCTACTCGTTTCGTTCCTCGCCTGTTTGCCTTACTTTGGTTTACTTCGTCGACATTCGCGGATGTCATTTTGTACGTAGGCATAAACAAAACAGGGCACTCACTCAATGTACATTGAGAGAACAATACTGGAGAGAGAGAGAGACCGAGGTTAAAGCTATCTCGCCTATCCAAGACGAAGGAGTCTGAGGCAATCGATTTGGGCTGCTGAAAGGATAAGCTCCCATATGAAAGGGTGCAGGGATCTGGCAACGTTGCGTACAGGTGTTCATAGTGTAATATTCAGGAACGCGGAATATGGCCGTATGGTCCGTAGTACATCCGAGCTTTACGCCTCAGGATAATACTTTCCAAGTACTGCCTGTAGGTCTCGTCATGCTGGGCCTTGCCGAAGAACGCTTGGTCAGCTTCGTCTTCTTCCGATATGGGCAAGCTTCCCGTCGACGCAGCGGTAGTGCGGTGCGCGAGCGTGCAATCTGCTGGCACGAACTGAATGCACGTCGGGCCTTGCTCTTGACGCGGGCAGTGTTCGACGAACGGATAGCAAGAGTACGAACCTTCCGTCTTTCGAAGCACTCGGTGCACCCCCGACGTGCTCGAGTGGCCGTCCGAGTCTTCCTCCTCTTCTTGGTCTTCGCAGAAGGGCATGCTGCACTCTGAACCGGTGTGAGGATCCACGTCCGCGGTGAAGACGTCTTCCCGATTCTTCCCGGGCCACTCGAAGCCCGCGTAGTCCCAGAACATCGGTGACAGAGACAGTTCTTCGACGTTCTCACTCGTTGCTCCTTCAAAGCGTGTTATGGTCGTTGGTGTGCACGCACTGCCATTCCCGACAGTTTCGATCATGCGTGTCATGAGTTCATTTTGGTTGGATGTCATGGATGCCTCCGACGCGGCGATTTGAATGTGGTCAGCTTCCATTGCAGACATGGGCGCGTAGCGGACTGATCGTCCTGCGTAAGCAGTGTGCACTTGCGGTACCCTGGAGTGACCCAAGCTAGCGCCATCTGCGGGTGTTGACGTCATCGGACGGTTGTCCGGAGAACGTGATTGGACCGTCCGTGGTTGGTCCAACTCGGCGAAGCTGCCGTCGAGTGCGATGCCATCCTCTGGCTCGCGCGGTGTGACTGACAAGAGTGTGACGCTGGAGTCCGACGGTTCGGTCGCTTCTACGACGTCTTTGTTGTCGGTTTCGTCAGACGCTGGGGTCTTCGCTTTGCCATTGAGGAGAGAGAGCGATTTGCCGACAACCTTCTCCTCCGTCTTGGCCGGCTCATACGAGCCCTTGTGGTCCTCCCGGTACATCTGCCTGACCAAGCGTAGGTAGAGCCAGGCTATGGTTAGCGCCGACACCAGGACCACCGCAACAGCCAACACTAAAGCCACTATAGGCAGCATGGTGGAATTCGTGCAGAATTACGTTCTTTGCCTGTTGTTTAGCTCTTCGACGAGAGTGTCCTTACCTGGAACGAAAGATACAACAATTTAATAAACATATGCGATGCGACTGTTCACGAGGAAACTACGTATGAGGATCCCATATGCCATGCAAAATATAGTGTTCTCGCATATTTGCAATAGTAGCACGACATTCGCTGTTCCGAAATCAAAGAGAAGTCGTTGCTGTAGAATTATCGGACTCTATAGCACGTGTCTCTCGAACCCCTTGCACTCAAGGGCCCTGGAGGTAGTTGTGCTTCTGGCACTTGCGTATAACCCGTTGATTACAAATGCTATTTTTATTACAATTCTATTTGAGAACTCATTGTCATAATGTTAAATGCGTCTTGCGCACGCTTGCAAAGACTTTCGATGCCCTTGCAACAGCAATGTCACTTTGACATGTGTGTGCACGATAGCTCATAAGCTCGTCATTAGCGCTTCATAAGCCCGTTATTAGCGCGCACGATATTGGCGGTTATTGCGCCATAAAACCCTCATTATCATCACCTTTATGAGAAGTGAATAGAAAATAGGCCGATGTATTTCAAATTGAGTAGAACAATGTTCGCACTGAACAATTTTCACGTGTTCACATCAATAGTTACCCTATAGGTGCTGCAGGGTTCACCTACAGGGTGAACCCTGCAGATAGGTGGGGCTGTGAACGTTCATCGCAGGGTCCCCGTTCCTACTAAATCAATGCAAGGGGTGGACCTCGCATCCCCCTCTCCCTTTGATCACTATAGGGAAGGTGGCCACGCCTCTGCCTGCCCCCTCCTCCGTGATCACGCCTATACAGGCGTTTCATATTAGAAGACGTGGGAAGAAATTCGTAAGCTTCATGCCGTTAACACAAAAAAGAATTTTCATACGTCATCAGCACTGTGACGATCCGGTTTGAGTCACGTGTTTTATAGCCTCATTTTGTGGTTTTGCTGTTTCACCAGCCAGGTCATGTCACAGAAGTGGTATATATGCACCTACCTTTCTTTCCGATAAACTTTAGTTGCGAATGGTGCTTTTGTTGTGTGCATTTTCTTGTTCTAGTGCGTGTGTCTATGTGCGCGCCCTTATTCAGTTAAAATATGATAGATACCCTTAATACCATTCTTACCTCAGCGTTCCCTCCCACCCATACCGTGTTATCCACCCGTACCGCTCTCATTTTATTACACAGCTACAAGTGATACAGAAAGTAATAATACCAAGGAAGGGCAGATTGACATGTAGATAACGTTATGGTTCTACGAAACGTAAGATAAACATGTATGAAGCTGGTGAGCCCGAAATAAAAGACCACTTTGTCCTATATGCGCAGCCGTTAGTATTGTGTGGTAAAGAGGACGAATTATTGGAACTGATAGCTGCTATCACACACCGCGCTGTGCTTTTAGTGTGAATAAGCTTACCGGGTTAACTTTACGCGCACAGGGTCGGTGTTCAACACTTGATTTTTACACATAAACTAAGGAATACCTTATTGATGCAAGTCTCCATCCTAATGTGGGATATGCTAAAAAATAAGGGGCATCAGAGATTCTCTCTGCTATGAAATCGCATGTCGCCGCAATAACATAATCGGACATGGAAGAGCATGCTCTTGTTTTTTTACTTTGTTTACTTGTTTTGTTTGCTCCGAAATTAATTGCTTTCACTGTTCACAGGAAGGTTGACGAAGGGCGGTTAGGCGTTGCCAGGCCTGTTTGAAAAATTGTACAATTACTAATGTCTGACAAGACAGTTATTATAAGTTCCCCGATATTAGGGAGAAGAGTAACGTTTGGATTAGATAGGATGAGACTTTATGTTGTTTGTCCTCTACGTCTTTGGAACAGAAACGCACGTTGTTGTATTCGAAATGCATTCATGCACATCTTTCAGCACTCTCATCTGCCCTCATCGATAGGCTGATTTTTGTAGTTGATATCTATCGATGCGTGGAACTCTCTGCCCGTTTGCCAAATTAAAGAACCGGCTGTGATTATATGAAACTAAAGTAATACGAAAAGAGAGTTAACAAGAAATCTCGAAATGTACGAGAAGCCTGACGCCATCTGCGTATAAGCTATGCAGTTACTGACGAATGTTGTGGTTTATTCAGAGGAGAAATTGTACCTCACATTAGACGAGTAGAACGTGACGAAGATAAACAACGCCGCCAACTTAGCATCGGTTCTCGGTGAATAACAGCAGCGGCATACTCGAAAACGAAGACCTGGTATAAGGCGCACAGGTGCGGCGCACGCGCTGACTACCAATTGGTAATTTTATTGCGGAAACGGAGTTGGTATGCACTTCAACGACGCATCTGCCTGCGAGGCATCGGATAATCCCGAAGCGTGTACAGAGGAAGTTTTTTTGTGGCGGGTTGAATTTCGAAATTACGTCACGGATGCTGCGCGGTAAACATGGAGCAAAAAAGAAATAAATATTAAGCGATTGAAGGTCTCTGAAATTAAACGCGGACGCGTTTTTCATAATAATAATTATTGGAATTTAACGTACTAAAACCACGATGCGTTTGTGAGAGACGCCGTATAGGAGATGGCTCCGGAAAGTTTGCCTACGTGGGTTTATTTAACGTGCTCATAAATCTAAGTCCACGGGCCGCAGTCATTTTTGCCTCCATCGAAAAAACGGAATGCGTTAAGTCCTCCAGCTGGTATGCAGGTACCTACGAAGGTATGTAAATTATTTTTTTCATTTTTTTCTTGAAAAAGTTTTTTTTTTTTGGGGGGGGGGGGGGGAGGGGGGGCGCCTTTAACCAACACGCTGAACCGGTGTACAACGAATGCTTCTGGCCGAATTCAGCTACCGTATTTATTCGCATGTTACCAGCCCTAATCAGCAGTGTCAAAAGTTGATTAAATGATGGAGAAGGGTACACGTTTCGGGTAGTTCGTTCACGATTACATTTATACTGATTTCATTCTTTTTCATTTTAGTTCCGTTATATTGTAATCACAGGTTAGCCTATATGCTGCCTGGAAGAATAAACACTATATAGTTGTATGCCAGTGTCTGTGTTCTTTCGTCCTTTCTTAAACCGCAGTGCCCTGCATTCACTACTAATTGATCAAAATTTACATACTATAGCTGGACGGCTCAGTGCTCTCCCATAGTTGAGTACGATGTACTCGAAATCGTTCAATATTTTTTTCTAAACACAATTGATGCCTATGGTCGGCTGTATTTGCTATGATGCTGGCTGAACAATTGATAACGTTGACGAACTACTGGCGCATGTTTGTAGGTGTTCGCTAAATTATGCTCGAACGATGCTTATCCTGTTATAACAACAAAAGCTATCTCAATTCTGCTTCAATCTATTGGTGGAAACGCCGACTGAAGTCGGTTTTTCTGAATCTTGCTTCGACGTGCCTCTAGAGGGGTACATCAGGGCAACATTAGCGTCCTACCATTATTCGTTTCGCCAGTGAGAGCGCATGCGTGGTTATAAGTACATATACACAACGCAGGCGCTCTCAACGGCATGCGTTATCGGCGATGGTCACGGTACAGCTGTGACGTCACGTTGCGCCCATCAATGTACGTATATTAAAGTGATCGCTTTGCCCCCCAAACACTTACCTGTCTTCTGGGCCGGTTGGTCTTCGATGTTCTCTCTTACGATCGGATCCTACGATCAGATCTGACAATCGTACGAAGCATTGCAATAGTTCCTCGTTTCTGCTCACACCCTCCGTCGCGCCTTGAACCGCGACCTCGTGGCGGGCATGTCGGGTTTGCGATGGCTTTCCGCGAGCGACGACGTCGAAGGGCCAGATGCACCTGTTTACCGCTCAGCGCACACTCGATGTTTGGCCCAAGGGAACGGGCTTAAGTGACTACTCGCGTTTGCGCTTTGCGGAGTCGACGCACACAGCCCGGTCCGAAGAGGGATCGACATGGGCCAGGCTTACCCGACCGCTGCAATACATGGCTGCGTGCACACCGCGGAGTGAAGTTCTCTTATCGCATTGTCGTCGATAAAGGCTCGACGGCTTCGCAGCGAGGGGTCGCGTAGAGGTTGTTATAGGGCGGACAAGTGTTGGCGCCCCTTATTGACTCTATGGTGTATGTGCGAACGTTTCTGCCGAGATACAAGAGATATACGGCTCGTATTGCTGCCCGGTTAGCTGCTGGCGGGTTCATCGTCGCGTTTTATGCACGCGTAACCAACGCGCTTTATTGAGCGTATTTAATAGTTAACGGCCAATACTATAGAGCCCATGTTTGTTTAACAATATCCGAAATGTTCTTCAAAAGGAAAAGGGTAAAAGGGGAAAGGGCGAAGCGTTTTTGTTGTCCACACGAGGAAGACCTTTTATCAAAAAAAAAATAATAATAAACTAGGCCGTCAGCATTTTATAGGTGCGCTATGGCCAGACGTACAATAGAACAAAAAAATGTCATTCGCACAACATCGCTACAAAGCTGGAAAAGTGCCCATTAAGTTTTCTACGTTAACTTCATATGCAAGTAATTTTGGAATGGAAGCTGAGACGCCCTACTTTAGAGATGTCCTTTCCTAATGTCGACGAAAATTTAAGGGACTCGGCGTTCCTGTTAGATCGTCCTGAGCTGTTGGAGGCTCACATTTATTAAACAGACGCACAGAAGCAATAACCATATTCTGCTGTATACCTCACCTTATCATTTTTCGTGCCTTCTGTAGCCGTCATAAAATGTAGGATATATACACGTACTCGTTGTTTGGAAACAGCGGCAGGCGCCGTCGACATACTTAGGCACTTCACACAATGATGATTATAGAATGTCGTGGCGAGCTTTGCTTTGGTTGAAGCTTACGCGCCGCAACGTCGCCACACACGCCTCAGTATGTAGACGGCGCCTGCAACTGTTTTAAAACAAGGGGTATACGTCCATAATCCAGGTAGCCTCATCCATTGGGCTGAAATCTCGGAGGTTGTTCTAGGTGACGACCGGGATATACTTCGGTGAGCACTTGAGGCGGTCGAGCAGAATCTCACCTTGATAGCAGTATATGGATTCCTGTTTGTTACCTTGAAGAGCCGACCTATAGAAGCGGTATCGACGTTCGCTCGTCGCCCGCGGGCTCTGCTGACGGGACGGCAGCCAGCCTTCGCGTCTATGTTACTCAAAAGTAGGATTTTGCGAAGTCCTTTTTTTTCTTCCTGCATTTCGCTTTCAATAGCGGCCGACAGCCACCCGAGGGTTTAGTACAATCGCGAGGAAATCGACACCCCTAAACAGACTCTAATCTACGGAGATGATCACTCGTTGTTGTGTTAGTGTTTTTTTTTTTTTACCAAATACGAGTATCAAAAACAAATATCCGTATCAGTATAAACAGAAACTAACAGAAAAGTCACAGGATCCCTTGTGCATTTACCAAGGCCAAAGCCGTAGCATTTTTTTCTTATCAAACAATTTTATTATTCCTCCCCCCCCCCCCCGAAAGCATGCTTCACCCGACGTGGTTTCGCACTGGCCACCGAGATCGCAGGCACTGGAAAAATTTCTTTATCTCACGCGGCTTTGCAGTTCCTCCTGGATCGGCCCACCTTTTACCTAGTGACTCCATCCTGCGACGTCACGTTGTACGTCGTCTTCATGACTTCGTAGGGAGACGTCATCACACGACGATGAGTTTTTGCACCACTCGTGTTGGTGCCGTCGGTCGCTCTTCCAGGATGAGAGGCATCCGAGGCCTTTGCCTGATTATCACGAACCGAATGTTCACATCATAGATCCTTGCCACCGAGGACGACTCGCTGTTCTCGAGTACAACAGCCTTTCACGTTCGACTGTAGCCGGAACTGGTGTTCGTTGCGATAGACGAGTGGACACTGGGCAGTGACAGACAGCGGCAGCACTGGCCGATTGTGACGATTTAATTTTTTTCTACTTACCATTCCCTCCCACACTTCTCTTGATGGTGGCGCGCGGGATCTCTCTTTCTGTCAGTTCCCTCTCCTCTGTTGCTCACCTCTCTCTCTCTCTATCTCTATTTGCCCTCTGCAGGCTTGAGACATTAGTACAAGTCTACTTTCTCATTTTGATTTTCTTCGTCTCCACCGCGGGGCGAGCAGTGGTTATGGTGTGCTCAACTGCTGACCCGCAGGTCGTGGGTTCGATCTCGGCCGCGGCGGTCGCATTTCGATGGAGGCGGAATGGTATAGAGGCCCGTGTACACTGTGTGACGTCAGCGCACGTTAAAAAAAAAAAAAAAACACTGGATGGCCGAAATTTCATGAGCCATCCAGCGCGGCGTCTCTCATAATCGTATCGCGGTTCTGGGACGTAAAAACACATGTTATCAATGCATAGTGCAGTAGGGGGAGCGGCGCAAATTTTTGACACTACAAGTAAAAAAAAAAAAAGAATAGTAAAAGCGTCTCTTACTGCTGTAGCGTTTGCAAGCACCATCCCCTCGAATATATACACGCGTTTACAAACGCAACGTCATCTTCATATCGCTAAGCAAAGATCGACAAGATTGCTGCGGTTGCAGCGGTTTTGCACCTGTCTGCGACACTATTTACCGACAAGAATATAGAATAGCAGAAAAGAGGAGAGATAAAAAACAAACAAAACGAAATACGAAGTGCTGACCGCGCAAAGACAGAAGTCGAGGCTCGTACGAGGAAAGGCTGGAAAGAAGCATGAGAAGCAGAAAACTCGCACACGCCAACGCAACCGGCAGCTGGCCGACCTGCTTCGTATCTTGAGCTATGTACACGTACAACTGCGATCAGGTCCCGACCTCGCGGTGAGGCATACCGCTTACTTTTGCCTCTCTCAGAACGCTTTTCATGCAGCAGTGTTGCAGCTGCGCAATGGCCACCAGTTAGCGTCATTACGCACTCGATCTGTGTCTACGCCGGTAAAGTGGCATCTTTTATGCCTTTGGCAGTGACCGCTTGGAGAGATACTTCGCGGGGTTAAGCGGAGAAGTGTCACAGTGGGGTGAGTATACGCATGCGTACAATGAAGACTTTAAAGGATGCTGTAAATAGAAATACGTCCCGCCGCGGTGGTCTAGTGGCTAAGGTACTCGGCTGCTGACCCGCAGGGCGCGGGTTCGAATCCCGGCTGCGGCGGCTGCATTTCCGATGGAGGCGGAAATGTTGTAGGCCCGTGTGCTCAGATTTGGGTGCACGTTAAAGAACCCCAGGTGGTCTAAATTTCCGGAGCCCTCCACTACGGCGTCTCTCATAATCATATAGTGGTTTTCGGACGTTAAACCACACATATCAATCAATCAGTAAATAAAAATACTAAATCAACTTGAATCGTGGTCCACCGCGGTTGCATTTTGATGAACGGCGTGAAAAGCGAAGAGCAACCGTTAAAGAGCCCCGGGTGGCCGAAACTAAATCCTTGTTCCACTATACTACGGTGGGCCTCACAATCATAGCGTTGTTTTGACGCCTGTTTTAGGCGGGTACAATCTGTTCAATTTGTTAATTTTTTTTACTAGCACTGGGCCTAAACACAGAGATGCCTTCAAAACCAGCAAGCGCGTTTATATAAGCTTGATTCCATCTGTTGTGGAGCAAGCGATGATAATGGGGATCACTGGGCTGGGATATTTAGGCGGGGGCTATGTTGTGGAAATACTCGTGGACAAGTTTTCTTCGCAATGAAGCAGAGGATATACGAAGCCGAATCGCGTGTATCCGACCGCCAATGAATCTGTACAGTTCAACAATCAAGTCCGTCTTATCTACATTAGGTATAAAAATTACGTCTTTATTTTTTACATGTAGCTCTGTGACACCAAACGCAGCACAAACGTGAGATGTTAGTATTTATTTCACTTTTTACGTTGCCAGTCTTTTATTTAATGTCAACAACAGAAAATAAGGCCCAGGAAGGTACAGGACATATTATTTGCAATAGTTGTGATATAGTTGTGTGAATAGTTGTGAACCTGCAACCTTGGAATATTCGAAGCCGGTAGCAGGTTTGGTACATGCATTGTTCCAATGAGCATTGTGTCAGTGCTGGAACGTAGAATGTGCTTGAATAAATATGCCTTGCTTTGATTGACACTATTATTATTCTTGAGATATTTTCTAAATTGCGAGTGAAAAAAAGACTTAAGTTGTTGCTCACTTGAGAAAGTACACACAGAAAGAGGAAAGTGTACAAAGCTTAACAAGCTTGTCTAGAGTGGTTGGTTAGGAGTGCTCCGTACTGCACTGGCCACGTCTGACCACCGTATTCAGAAACGCTCCTCGACTCGAATTCCATCCTTCACTTGACTGAGTTGAGCACTGCGCCGCTGCTCGACTGAAATTGACGCTGCACTTCTCAAGAATCGCTGCAGAATATTGCCGATAAGCAGTGACTTGGTCTGCCAAGAGACGGCGCTCCCGTCGAGTTTTTCAAGTCGGGGAGAGCCCTTGAGTGAAGGAGCGTTTGTGAATACGGCGGTGAGTGTACACGTGGTTTGAGGTAGCCCCTATTTGAGCATGCGTAAATTGGTCACAGAGCACGCTGAAATGCGGTTCGTGCCAAGTTACGTGCTTTCAATGGATGCCGCCTGTGCCCTCTAGCGTGTTGAGCTGTGCGCGAAAAGACAGTTACCGATGGCCCTACTCTTAAAATCCTCTCCCCTGAAAAAAAAAAAAACTGGTGACGCCATGGTGACGGGACGGGTCGCTCGACGGCTTTGAGAACGAGCTCAACCGTCTAGCTGAAGCCTGAAAAAAAAAAAAAAACTCTTTTGGTGCTGCTTGGAAACTTCAGGAAATTTCGCATCCCTGACGGAAAGTTTCATTCACGCAATAAGTAGTAGTCCGCCTCGGTGAATCAGTGGCTATTTAGGGTGCTCGGCTGCTGGCCCGAAGGTCGCAGGTTCGATTCTGGCCGTGGCGGTCGCATTTCGATGGAGGCGGAGCGATAGAGGCCCGTTTACTGTGCGATGTTACTGCACGTTAAAGAACACCAGATGGTCAAAACTTCCGGAGCCTTCCACTACGGCGTCTGTCATAATCACATCGCGGTTTTCATATTTGAGCCCTCCCCCCCATCCAAAAAAAAAAAAATCAAGGGCGAAAACCTTCGCTTGCACATTTTCCCACGATGCGTGTGATCGCTTCCTTTCTCCTCTTTTGTTTCTCAGTTTTTTTTTACTTTGCTTTATCAGCATAGCCGTGTGTGTGTCAACTTGAAGCGCGCCTCTGCTATAGTTTTGTAAAGAACACAATTCACGCATGTCCATCGGCGATACTGCTTCTTGCCTTAACAAAGATTAGCTTATCTCCGAGATACACCCCTCACCTTCCTCCCCCACCCCATGCCGTCGCTTGACCACATCTTCAGCGATTGTCTCCGACTTCGGCATCTCTGAGCTAGCCACCGGCAAACAAGGAAAGGATTAATCCTCCGGGCTTCCTCGGTGACGCACTGCCGTCGTCACTTCGCGGCTGATATCAGCGGTCTGCTCGTCTCGCTAGTTCCTGGCCCATGCGTCTGCAGCGTACGCTGCTTGTTTTACGATCCCCGTGTACAACGCATACGTGAACTGACTACAACCAGGGGAGCTCATTTTGGTACGTCGTCCTTCATTCTTCTTCTATTTCCGGCCGTATAAGTTCCGTAAAATTCAAAAGCTTCGCTTGCCAAAACCACGGTTGGCATGCATGCTGTTGTCGAGGTGAATTCCGCATTAATTGTGACCACCTAGGAATCTGAAGAATTTGAAGTTGTATGACGTTTGCATTCGGAAACCCTAAACGCCGGTGTCCTGTTTTTTTTTTTCTCTTTCGTGCGTGATCGGCTTTGAATTTCAGCTTCTTCCAACGCATGCTCTCTACTAGACGAGATTCACTCAAAACATTGGCTGCATCAATTTACACCTAGGAATTTTTCAACTTAAAATGAAAGCATAAATGAAACTACGCAGGTATTTTCTTGCCTTTCGCTTCCGCCGAAATTCAACCGCCACGACGGGTAATGAAACTCGCGACCTCAAGCTTTAGTAGGGTTATGCCTCTGTTGCTAAGCTATTAGAACGGATCTAGTGTAATTCCAACACCGGGGGCTGATCTGTAAGTAACATATATCTGGATTGTCGCTTGCAAAAATACCGGCAGTTAGTCATGATTCTAGGGACTTCACTTGCCACCTTATCATGAGGCATAGTTTGGTGTCTCCGGCTTAATTTTGGCCGCCAAAACTAAGTGCTCATACGCAGGCGTTTATGCGAATCGCCCTTAATCGGGGCGCAGCCGGTATCTAACTCGCGCTACCACATGCCCAGATGCAGCGCTACGTCACAGCCATGACAGGTTTCTTAGTCAACATGCATAAAATACGGTGGTGAGAAGTAGGGTGCTGTCCGCACCTAAAAAAATACAGGTCATTATCTCAATGCGCCTGCTGAAGAACAATCTCTTCAAACACGCAGCAAGGCGTTGTCACCGTATACATCAGCAAACGTCTCGTATCTCGCCTGTATACGATACGCTATGTATACATCCTCTTTCACTGAGCTCGATTTCATTAGACCACTGACCCGTGCCTAGCTCGTCATCGCCATTGTGCTACTTTTCTACATGCGCGTCAGACACATTAGCGGATCACGTTTCGCATGATGACGCGTTCAGCGGATCGCGATTCCTGCCTCGTATATACCTACACACCACACCGTTCACAGGTACACAGCGCTCCAGGTGAACCAAACGTTTTTCGTCTGCTCGACATTTGCAGGCCCCCCGAACGAATCACACGGGAATCGCATGTTCTGCTGAAGAGCCATGGGACACGCCCTCATCGTCGACTCGATCTTGACGCCGTTCAGCTGGTACAGCCTGCTGCCCCTCGTCGGCGTCGCAGCCTTCCTGTTCGTGGTGGCCGCGTACCAGAGGACCCAGTTCTACTGGATCACCGACAGGGCCAGCGACGTCATGCAAGGCCTCGCCTCGCGCTTCCGCAAGGAGCCCATGGCTGTCCAGGAGCCTCACGTGCCATGGTTCATCACGGGCAACTCTTCGCCGGCAGGCTACGGCATCGGGATGACTACTTTCCAGAACTATTCGGGTTCCCCGGGCTACGAACCCGAGGCCTTCGATGCCGCCTCTCCGAACGGAATAGGCACTGCTTCTCAAGTCTGGCCGATGAGTGCGCATGGTGTCGGTAGCCAGTCACGCAGCGTTCCCGCCTTGCCTGTTCTCATCAAGGTGACTGACCTGAGTGAATGGAGCGAGTCCTTATGAAACGGCGCTTTTGCGGTGCGTCATTAACGCGCAAGAGTTCTGTGTAGAATTCTCAAACCCCTGCATGTTCCCGTCTTCAAGGTCATCAAACTCGGCGAGTGAGCTAAAGCCAGTCTTCCTTGATTTTTGTCTCTAGTTCATGAGGCTGTGTGCTGCTTTCTAGCAAAGGACCTTTCGCTAAAGCAGTGGTATGACGTAAGGGATGTGGCCTCTTAGCGGCGGACATTGTTGGAAAGCGCTTCACGGCCTGTGCGTCTCGCAAGTTCTACTGTGTTCGGGTAGCTGAACCTGTTCGTAATTCGGGGTGGTTCTTGTTTTCTGCCGTACCTCATTTGGCACTCTCGCGTCGTAATCTGGAATGGTGCTGGAGCGAATGCTTGAACCTAGCATCGTTTGGATTGATACGGGGTTTGGCAGCAAAAGAACGACCTTTTGTTTGCACTGAGCAATTTTGACCGTGTAGCCGGTCTAACATCGCTTACATTTGCTTGTCAGAATTCAATCTGGAAGCCCCGAGAGACACAGCTGGTACATTGTTGCACATTGCTGCCAAGACGTCAGTTTCATTAGTTTAGCTGTAGCGGCGGGGGGAGACAACTGCAAGCAATGATCCAGCAAGCAATAGTATCAATGGTCGACTGTAATAAGTCATTTTTAATGGCTCTATCGTTCGCTTTTTCTTTTATTCCATCCTACCACGCATCGATGCATTTTATGACATTCTATAGCTCGCGAGTGGTAGCTATCAAGTTACGTGGAAATGATACGATGAGCGCGTTGTGTCGTTGTTTCAATAAAACGTCGCAATATATTTTTTCTGGGGTATCTTGCCTCAAATATCCTGTTTTATTTTTTTTCGCTGCGGACCACTCTTCAAGATGGCGTCGACTCTTCTCCCTGCAAAGAAAATAAACTGATGTGTAATCATACTGCTTCAAACGTCATGTCACATGACCACTCGCACCGCCTGAAATAAACGTATTAACGATAAGTGTGAAGCGATACACTAAATGAGCGACAGACAACCGTAAACGTGCCTCTGGTTCGCAAACCTAACGATGCGAAAATCGGAGGAGACCTCGGTGTCTGGTAGGGGCCCTCGCGCATTAGCGCTAGTGTGCCATAGCTTATTCCTTGGGTTTAACTTCCCACAGGGCGCCCCAGAGATGCCCCGTAGAAAGCAGCGCGTGCTTTAGTTCTGCTCCACCAGGTGTCACGGCGATCCCAGCTGCCGGATATTTTTCGGTGAACTAAATAAAAATTTGTTGGTCATTATGACAGTTATGTTATCTTTAACCTAAGTAGAGTTATGCTCCGAAACGTGTCTACAATACAACCTTTAATTTTAGCCAAAATTGTGGATTTATATACTGCAAAATGCTTTTTTTTTCTGGGTAGTCGGGAAACTGGGTGTGTCTTTGACCTTGGAAAAGAAACAAGTTTCACTCGGTGCTCTAGCGTCTAGGCACTTCAAAAATGACCGGAACGCGCACACTTTTCTATGGCTGGTGCGTCGTGGCATTGTCCGTCACGCCTTCTGTGACTATTAAGCTATCTACTGTGATCATTAGACGTTCACCCGCTCACTTGAATTCGTGCTTATCACATTATCCATGCTTACGAAAATTCGTACGCACTTTTTTATATACGTCTTTTATATAAATGGCTGGTTAAATTATTATCCATGTTAGTTTCTTAGTGCGGATGTGACGTCAGGAATACTCGCAAAACTGCTGGACCCACTGCTTACCTGGAAGTTTGTTGGAAGCTGGCCGTGCACTCTGCCATCTCCGTTTGTTGTGGCGCTCTGAGGAGATCCTTGACGAAAAGAAGAGAGCAGCTTCAGAGAACTCTTTTGCCGTAAATTAAAATAAAAAGTTAGTTCTCTTAAGAATATATAAAAGGTATTTCGTGTAACTAGAACCAACTAGTCAGAAAAAAAAGTGGCTGACCGCAACCGAATGGAACCAACACTGCTACGCAACATATGGTCGGACGTCATGTGGCACTTTCGAGGTTTGTTTTTGTATAGCACTTTATTAGTTAACTAATAATAATGATCCAAGACGTCTTAGTATTCTTATTCAGGCCAAGTGCGTTTCATAAGCTTGTGGAAGGCGTTACACGCAACCAATCTGTTTTTTCAAGCAACATTCATGCTAAGGGGCGATTTTTCATGTCCTCTAGGTGAATATGAAATAAAACCACGTGACAGCGCTCGTGCGCTACCATACGGCAGTGTGCTATATATTTGCTTCCAGGGTAATAACCTACATTGATTGATTTGTGGGGTTTAACGTCCCAAAACCACCATATGATTATGAGAGACGCCGTAGTGGAGGGCTCCGGAAATTTTGACCACCTGGGGTTTTTAACGTGCGCCAAAATCTGAGCACATGGGCCTACAACATTTCCGCCTCCATCGGAAATGCAGCCGCCGCAGCCGGGCATCGAATTCGCGACCTGCGGGTCTGCAGCCGAGTACCTTAGCCATTAGACCACCGCGGCGGGGCTCAACCTGCATTCCTCGTGGTCTCCGTGATTAGATTCACATAAAAAACAGCGCCAATAACGAGAGACTAGAAAAAGAAGGAGACAGACAGCGGCACTGTCCCTTCTTTTTCTAGTCTCTCGTTATTGGCGCTGTTTTTTATGTGAATCATGTCGTACGAACTCGCCCAAGCAACCACGTTAGCTCCGTGATGAGCTCCGGCAGCACATCATGCTGCCGGAGCTAATCACGAAGCTAAGCCACGCCTTCACGGATTAAACCTTCCCAATTTTCGGTGTTAGTGTCACTTTTGACAAATTGCTCGTATAGTGCAATTTGAGGATTGTTTGCCGCAGTGGTACTGCGGTCTTGGTGCTCGGCTGCTGACTCGAAGGTTGCGGGTTCGATCCCACCCATGTCAGTCGTGTTTCGATGGCGGCGGCGAAGTGCACGATAGAGGCCCGTGTACGGCGTTATGTCTGTGTACGTTAAAGGGGCCATGACATGGTCACCCGACAATTGACAATTTTCGTCGAAAAACAAAGGTAGAAGGTCAAATAAGCTGGCACACATGTGAAAACTGGACTGTAAAAGGTTGTTTCAGTCCAAAATGAGCCGTAGAACTCATCGGCTGTAAACTGCGCCTGTATACCACCGGCGACCATCATTTCGCCATGGTGTGCGGGACCCCACAAGCCGTAAGGAGCTGTGCCGTCGTCTGTTACCATGCAGCAGCTACCATAAGCGGCCAGTGTGTTCGATTTGATTGATTTGTGGGGTTTAACGTCCCAACCTGTTTGTTCACTGTGTTGCGAGTGTTGCTTGCCGCGTGGTCCGCACGTGTCAGTGTGCTGCAAGTGTTGCGGCATGTTACCGATGCCATCGCCATGTCATCGGCCCAATCAACACCTCACGATTCGGGCAGCACGAGGTTCATCGAGCAGCAGAAAGTGGCGATGACGTCGTGTACACTTCGTATGTTGACTTCGACCCCATCGCCACAAGCTCAAGCGGCAAGGAAAGCGTGTGAGACGGGGGGAACCAAGATGCCAAAGACCTCAGTGTTGTGGCAGATGTTGCAGACGGCCTTCCGCAATGATACGTATATAGCTTTATTTCAAGCATGCCAGGTCGACAACCGAGCTTGTGATACGGGGGTCTGTCGACGCTGAATTCGCGAGCTATAGTGTTACTTAGCGCAATGGAATCGGTAAAACGTGCGCATTTTTGTTTGCTAGCATACGTGCATGTACGGCTTTCGGTGCTGAACGTAATAAATACGGGGTCGCAACAACGCTGCGCGTTGGGACCGTTGTTGTTCCATCGGTTGTTGCGTGCGGCGTATGTTAACATTAGCCGAAGTTTGCGAACGGAATGTCAGTGTGGCACTATAGTTGTTCTCACGATATATATTTTGGCTGAATCTTTGCGTGAACGCTGTCGAGTGTAATCGGTTCCGGTTGAAAAAGGGAGTTTGACGCTTAACCATAACACTGCCTGCGAGGATATCAATAAATATTATCCGCAGTGGCAAAACGCATGCGCGTTGCACATTAGCAGGACACTTTTTGACATCACACAGATTGGCGAAAAATGTTTGCTGAGACAACGCCTCTTTATTTCAATGCCAGTGCAAACTTTCGCTTCCAACGGGAGCTGTAGGTCCGCCTTAGTTCAGAGAGTGGTCATGATGTCCCGCTACATGACGGGTAGTGCTGCTCACACGTGCTTCCAAGTGATTTCCCCGTAAATGCGATAGACGCGTTTCCCACTGCTATATCGTTCGTCTGTTAGATTTGTTTCTTCGTGCTGCTTCCTTGTGGCTCGAAGCAATGCCGCCACTGCTCTGCGTCACAGAGCAGCACGTGCAAAATCGTTGCAGTGGCGCTTTTCTATTGGTTTTACATTGGTTACCCGCATAGCGCCACGAACGGTGACACGCTATCTCTAAACACCGTATCTTTCACAAAGCCAGGCAGCGTGACCGCCAATATTGTGAACACGAGGAATGCAAGACGCTGCCCCACTGATCTGTACACAACAAAAAATGACAGCATATCCACGGGGTGAATGATGAAGGGTGGAGCGAAGCTGGGTCCCCTTGCACTGCCGTGCCGCTTCGGCCTCGCGTTCTCGTACGCCGGGATCTTGTCGGCACCGCTGCGCAGCTTCACGGCACGCTTCTGCCTCGCGCGCTCGCACATCGGGGTTCCGTCTTCGAGCACGAGCCACCGCCGCTTTGCGCGCACGCCGCTCTCCAGCCTTGTCCATCCGCCGACCTTCTGAACGCGCGCGCCAGGACGGCTTTTATTTTACTACACCGCGCCCGCTTGCCTACGGCTCCGCTGACGTACACGCGATCGCCAATGTCTTCGTGTGACGTGCTTCTCATTTTATCACGCGCTCGCACATCGGGGTTCGATCTTCGAGAGCGAGCCCCCGCCGTTTAGCACGTATCATACTTTTTACCGGCAAACCGTGAACCATCCGCGGCCGCGTCCGTCCGTCGTCTGTCTGTCTGTCTGTCTGTCTGTCTGTCTGTCTGTCTGTTTGTCTGTTTGTCTGTCTGTCTGTCTGTCTGCCTGTCTGTCTGTCTGTCTGTCTGTCTGTCTGTCCATTTGACGCACGTACGGACGGACTGACGATGGACGCATGGACGGGCTCAAGGACGGATGCACGAGAGGACGGTCGGACGCACAAATGGACGCATGAACAGATGCACGAATGGACTGACGGCGCGGCAGGCATAAACAGACGGATGAACGAACGCATTGACGAACGCAGGGACAGGCGCACGGACGGACTCACAGATGGACACGCGAGTGGACGCATGAGAGGACGGGTGGACGGATGCATGAACGGATGCACGAATGGACGCACGAATGGACGGACGCATGGATGAACGAATGGACGCATGCACGGACGTATGAACGCACGGGTGGACGGAAGCAAGAACGAACGGACGGTCCGAAGCATGGACGGAATGACGAACGCTTCACTCCACTCTCCATCATTCACTCCATGGATATGCTGTTATTTTTATTATTTATCATACAAGTAACGTCCTCTAGTATCGTCCTATTTACATTTTTCAGCGTTTATGCATTTATTTATAAGTACAATTACCGTCCTCTGCGGCCTGTTCAAGAACTAACGTGAGGTGGCTAGTAGCTACATATACGATTACGACGGGACGCTCAGCCCACGTCTTAAGGAGCTTCGCTCCTAAAAATTACTTATACGATTTCCGTCGTGAAGCACTGCATGAGGAGCTAGCTCTCTGCCCCATGACCGCAAATCACGCGCGAAGGCTAGGCGATGGGAGAGAGCAGGATAGGGCTAGAGGAGACGGAGGTGAACAGCTGGATCGGGCGCATCTGGCTGGCATTGATGAAATAGAGGAGGCGTTGGCTGAGAGCACCAGCCAACGGGTGACAATCTGTGACACGGTGGTACTATTTCGGTCGCTTTAAGTCATTTAGTTCCAACGGCAAGTTGAAAAACGCAGAAAAAGCTCGATTGCAAGCGCAGCTGACCACGAAGCACGATCGTCCCCCGGAATGCAGACCATGCAGCAAGCAGCTCGCCCAGCAAGCAGCTCGTTACGTCACTGCTAGCGAGCGCGCCAGTGCTGCCCGACTTTCAGGCCGCTAGCTCGTTTACAAAAAAAAAAAATGACTATAAATTAATGACACTATCAAATGCGCTAAAATATGGCCAGCTTGTCTGTGAACGTCCAATAATCAACCCACACAACACATATTATGGCCGAGAATTTGGTGTCGTGACCCGTTAAATGAAACACCGCAGCAAAGCGTCCCTTTTTATTAGTTGAGTCTAAAAGAAACAAATATAGCAATCTGAAAAAAAAAATAAAACAAAGCGTTGAAGCACTTTTTAAAGTGACCTGACTCTCGTCCCCAGAGTTTTGGGATGTAAATGTAGGAAGCAAAGAGGTGTTGGAACCAAACATCTTGTGTTGGCCTCCACTGTCACCAGAAGTGCTGCTTGACAACCGTGAACATTGAACGATGACGGGAAAGCTATGACTGAGTAAAGCTATGGGCAGAATTTGCGCCCTCTTAGCCGGTTAATACCTGTGTCACACGGGCGCGCAAAAAGTCTTTTAAGTAAGCGGTCTTTTAGGAAGTTGAGAGACTTTTAACAAAGAGGTGTTGCGGCGCAGACACACGGCAGCAACGATCTCCTTTTAGTGTTTTCGTTCGAAGACGCTAGCGAAAGCCTGGCACTAGCTGTTAAAAAGAGAAGCAATGAAAATTAAACGATGTATCACGATGTACAAATTAAACACTTGTTACACTGCTCGTTTCTTCAAAAAATTTAAGAATAAGAGATGAAGAAACACCAATGTAAAAGTTTGTTGCACTAGTTAAGGAAGCATTCCCATAACTAGCGACGTGCACAAGTCCGTCCGGCACCACTGGGCACCACTGTGGAGAGCTTGCGCAGTGAGCTCGAAAGACAGTGCACGAGCATGCGGGAAACTATCACTCCTGAGAAGCGAGTCGGCATTGCCCTATACAAGCTTGACCACTTGAATGACGGGCAAACACACGACTGCCACGCTTTCCTCGCTTGTGCAAAATGGCTCGGCGCGAGACCGAGCGTCCCCACGTAATATTGCCAACGCGTCGTAGCTGCTCACGAGAGTAGAAAAGGAAATAACCATTAAAAAGAGTTCAATACACCTTCTGCAGGATATAAAATTTGTTTTTACAAAGAGTTTTGGTGACAGAAAAATAAGCATTCGCTCTTTTTTTTTCCACCACTCGAAAATTGCTGGCGCCCACTGGTTTCGAGGCTACTCATTCGGAGCCGTAAAAGAGATCGACGAACTCCGTTTACGAAAAAGACCGCTTCTGAAAAGGAGTTCGCTCTGTGCCGTGTGTCTGCGGTCAGGAACGCCTTTTCGGAAAAAGACCGCTTACTTAAAAGACTTTTAAGTGCCCGTGTGACAGGGGTATAAGAGGGTAAGGGAGTGGCCGCCTCTCCCCTACTTCCCTCGCCCGGTGCCTCCACAGTGTAAATCAATAGCCGTGCCAATAACTCACGCATAGCACATGAACACACCCATAGCAGTAATACATCCATAGCCGTCCCAATGTGTGAACAGGTATCACCCACCGCGAGCGTTCGCATAACCACATGTGAACCGCCAGTGTGAACGCGCACTCTTTCACCAACCGTTCGCGAACGTTTCCATGTGGTGGCGCTTGATGTAGTTGGTCGCGAACTGGTCGGCGCGCACGATGATGAAGCGCCTGCCGACGGCCTCGATGACGTTGCCCACCCGGAAGTCGCCGACGCCGTAGTAGCGTGGCTCGGCCGCCGACGACTGCGGCGGGAACCCGTTGAGTGGTTTGCGCAGCCTCATGCGACGCAGGAACTTTCCGGCCGGAACGCCCGAGTTCGGCAGCGGCCTTTCCAGTATGGACACCGTCTCGTCCGATGGGTAGAAGCAGATCACGAAGCTGCGCTCTTTGTCCAGCGGCAGGGTGCTGTCCTGTACGCGATGACGTCAGACAATGCGCTGTTAACTACCCGAGGCAACGCTTGAAAAAAATAAATTTTTACCAGCTGGTGGTGTGTACCAAGCAATACGGACTTTTGAAGGGAGAAGGTGGGTAAAAGAATTGTATCTGTGCTATTTTACGCTGAACGATTTAATGTGATTTTCATGGTAGGCAACATTGGCATGCATAGTATTTGTCTTCATGGAGGGTGAAGACTCAGCGCAGGCCTTCGTCCCCCCGCCCACCTCCCGCCTTATGTCAATCTGGCAGACTTTGCTCCCACCCCTCTAAATAAAGCACTCCTTTTGCCCCCCCCCCCCCCAACCCGTGGGCATGCATATGCGTGGAAATTTAACTCTTTTTTGACCATATTTTGACATTGACCCAGAGGTGAGAGCTAAGGTTTCCCGAAGAATTTATCGACACTGTACCATCGTCGTCGACTGAATGTGGCATACACGAACATTTACTTAAACACAAAAGAGCTTACCACTGAACACTGCTGTGATAAATCAGGCAGAACATTGACAGTGGAGCGCGTATTATTAATACATGGAGTACAAGGCGCCAAAATCACGATATGATAATGAAAGACGCCGTTGTGCAGGGCTCCGGAAACTTCGACTACTGCGGGCTCTTTAACGCGCCCCTAAATTCAAGCCCACGGGCTTCAAACATTTTCGCCTCCGTCCAAAATGCAGCCGCCGCAGCCAGGATTCGAATCTCCGACCTTCGGGTTAGCAGTCGAGCGCCCACTAGTCCACCACGTGTAACCTACATTGAATGTCACGCATACCGCGACGGGAGAAAATTTCTCAAGAGACAAATGGACATGATTCGCCACTATGCATTAACGTTACGAAGCGTATTAAGTCCCATGCCCAGCGCCCCTTCTGAAGAGCGATAGGTTTGAGTCATTATTAGATTACCTGCCATAAATTGGCCTATTTGTAAATATTTCACTATCCACCGTTTCACATAGAAAACTGTATTCACCTGACATCCCAATTGTAAAGACTTGAGTCAGGTTCACTCATGCATTTTCTATTACATTATATACTTTCCTTTTCTTTCTAACTGTATTTTATTTTCTGGAGTTTTTAATCCTATTCTCAACCCCATGCAAAGTAGCATGTTTGCAGTTACATACACGCCGGCGAAAATCTCAGTTTTTACGATAGTTTCTCACACTTTTTTTTTACGGTTGGAATAAAGCGCAAACTAGATGGATAGCAGCAGAGACATGGACGAACGCCTTCTAACAACTGATTAGGCGTTCGTCCATGTCTCTACTTGCGTACGTCTAGTGGCGCCTTATTTCTTCCGTAAAATATGCACCAACTAGCCCAACAAAAAGTTCTACTTGAATACCTTTCTCAGCACGACTCTCTTGTAGTATCATACACGTAATGAAAAAAAAAGTGTTCACGACTTCTGCAAATATATTCAACGTGAGTCGAATGTTGGGCTCGTTATTCGAAGGTTTAGAATTTTCGGTGCAGCCATATATCCATTAATGTTGCATGCCACGCAAGCATATAGGCTTTTGTCGATTTGAGACGTTTCCTCGGTGTTGTGCCAAAAGCTGGTGGTATAGGTGCTGCTGTTGTATCGAAGTAAGCACTCCGGAGGCATGCATATCTCAACGCGGATCTTCAATAAAGATAAACAAAATGGCTGTTTAGTGCACCGCAGACCTTACAGAAAAGAACGAACATTCCAACAAAATGAGCTTTTGTTTTTCAGTGTTTCTCAAGCAAATAACCCTTGATTATGTAACTTTCAGAGCTCGTGACAATGTATTTCGTAATCGAGGCAATCGCGTACCATACATACACGCGAGCATTTCAGTGATCGATGAACCACCCTCCACATGACATACCATGCAGGCAGAACACGTACAGCTTTGTTTTTGTTTTTGTAAACACTTCCTCTGGATGCCTACGGCCGACTTAATTGATATGAATAAGAGGAAAATGCGAAATCTACATCTTTTGAACAGGCACTACTATGGGCGGCCGTTTTCATAAACGGAAAGGGAGCGTTTATGCTTAATAGTATCAAGCCTGAAGCAACGCCAGACAACATCAATGATCTTGTTGTAAATGCTTGTTGCTTGAATCACTGAATACATTTCTATTTTGTGTGTGTGTGTGGGGAGGGGGAGATGTGGAGGTGGTAAGAGAGACTAAACACACAAATTACATGAATCTGCAACCAACTGGGGTGTGAGAAGCCTGTATTTAAACATTTAGTGTTGCTTTACTGATCGACAATGACAAGACACAATGGACAGCGAGGGATGCCAGGAAGGCAACTTGAGGTTTTAACTCAAAGTACCCTGTTGAAAATAAGTAGGTGCCTCAGTAGTTGTTGGGACTGTCTGAAAAGCACTCTTTTCATACAAAGTTTGGAGGAAAAAAAACAGTGAAATTAGTGGGGGCTGTGAAAATGACACTAAATCTCAGCTGGATTAAACAGATGACTGTCAATTGATCGACAGTCGGTTTAACGAATATTTCAGAATACCGAGCTTTTCGAAAATCTCTGTACTTTTCCTATGCATTCTATGCAAAAATATTTCAGTTAAGCAATCTTCTGGATAGTGAATATTTTTTATTTGCGAACAGGGGCTCATTTTTAAGAACGATGAAGTTTTGCGCTCTAGTGCAGCCTGCTGCCCCCCACAGCACCCCTCCATCAGTGGTGGTGCAGCATCGCTTGTGCATGCAGCGCCGCCGAGTCATATGATCCATGCGGTATATTAAAACAAGCCACGTGCGCTTCAACACGTGATCAGAACTCTCTGATTTGGAAGTTGTTTCGCGCGTTCGTACTGAACCGAAATAAGAGTGTGACGAACTTGTTGTAATGACTGAGGCAGGCTTAAATGTTGCACCTCTATAACCGAGGTTGCATGATATACCAAAACGTTGCATGACTTTGTGTCACCGCAACAAGCCGTGCAGGCAGTACACAGAAACGTACTCTCTAGACATATTTGTCTCTTTTTGCCCATTAAACAATTAGGACGCCAGCCCAAATGGAAATGACGAAATTCTTGTCAAATTGAGTTGTACCTCACACTTTTGAATTGACACCTGCTCTGCCCAGGGGTGCTACGCAGGATCAGCCGATTTTCCCGAAACTCAGCATCTTCCCGAGCTTTGGCGACACCCTCTTAAGAACGAGCCCACAGTATACGTCAAATCCACCCCTCAGCGCGCTTCGTTTCATTGGTAACGACGAAACCAGTCATCGCGTCAAGGACGGTCGACTTAGTTGGGCAGTGTTTTCAAACCAGAGGCATCTTCTTGAATTTGTCAGTCGTTCCACTGAGTGCAGAAGTTCACCCACACAATGAAATTGTCAGAAACATTTCGGGACGATATTTCTTAGAGGCACGGGGTGTTTAAATTGATTTTAGAGCTTTTATTGCCTGCACTAAGTCTGTTTGAGAATAATTAGCACGGTGGCCCCTGAGATCAGTAACAGCCGGGCATCTTATAACATCGCGACCACAGCTAAGCTCGAGGCCGCTTGTTAATCATCATGGTTAGCCTGTACATGATGATGATGATGATGATGATGATGATGATGATGATGATGAACCTTCAGCTTTGCTGGCACTCGCCCACAAAGGGAGATCGGCCAAGGACCGGGTGGCAGGATCATCAAGTGTGCTAAGGCAGGCATTCAGGTAGTCTCGTAGCCGTAGATAATAACAATAGGCTAACAGGGTAATCTCTTTGTTGCCCTTATGTACTCGCACACAGCAGGGAAAACCTCCCTGTGGCTATAACCTAATGTAATCCCTCCGAAGGATAAAATTAGTTCCACGTTTATTTTTAAACCTAGCTTCTCAATTGGTTCGACCAGGTATCTTTTTCTTTGATAAGCATAACGTTGACAAGATAAAAATAAATGATCTATTGATTGCGATTCCTTGCAAAAGAGACACAACGGAGATGCTGTTAGTCCAGCTTTTTGTAGGTAAAAATTCAGATGCGGAATTCTGCATCGTAATCTGGTGGTTGTAATTTCTAACTGCCGAGATACACAACACTGTTTGTTCCAGCAATATCTTAGATGTACGAAGTCTCTGACTTTATCCAATGATAATTTTTCTATTACTTTGTGCAAACAAGAATTTCTATATCTGAGTGCTGTTACGTAGGCGAAATCAGGTAAAATAGGTAAGAGTGGTCCGCTTAAAGATGCTTTGGCTAACGAGTCTGCCATCTCATTTGGATAAATCCCGCAGTGGCCAGGTATCCATAGCAAGTGAAATTTTTTCAGGTTTTTTGGTAATAAACTGCTAATCATACTCAATAATGTCACATTTTTTGCTGTATATAGTGCAGTGCATACTGAGAAAGAAACGGTAAGTATGACCGCTTCTGATTCGCTTGCAGGAAGTTTACGAAGCGCTAGAATTATGGCAAATAATTCAGCGATGAATATAGGCGTGTAATCTGGTAATCGAACTGAGAAAGACCAGTCGAGAGAAGTACAGAAGATGTTTATTCCAGCCTTTTCGTTAAATACGGATGCATCCGTCGCAATCAAGGAGGTTATACTAAATCTTTAAAGTTTTAGTATAACCTCCTTGGTCGCAATAATGTTGTTTGTGGACAGATGAGTCAAGTAATCTTTTAACCGAATATTTAAACATTGAAGGGGCACTTGTTTCGCATTAGAGGGGAAAATATCATCAAATTTAATTTCAAGTTTTGAATTAGGCGTCTTAGTTATGCCAATCTGATAAATATTTACATTGAGAGGCTCTAGCAACGCTTGGACGAACATAATCTGAGGGGAGTGTAGTCTAGACCATTGTGTTCCAAAGAATGCGGTTGGTTCTTGAATGAAAACGTATGAAGCTTGTCGCAGAGGCGAATTGTATATTTTTAAGAAAGTTTGAACTGTAAGTATTCTAAACCAGGTTAACAAAGGCGGAAGGCGCGCTTCCACATACAAAACATTATTTGCCACAAATTTGGGGAGTCAAAAGTCCAAGACACAAGCGCAAAGCTTCTCTTTCTAATAATATTAATTGTCTCATATTGTAAGCCGCGCTGCCTGAAAATAATACGCACCCGAATTCAATAATAGGCCGCACATACATCTTGTAAATCATTATCAATGAACTTCTACGCAATCCTATTTTTCTGTTTCCCAATTTGCGTAACCACCCCAAGGCACGTGACGCTTTACAGCCAACCTCCTCTATATGGCTTTTCCAATTTAGCGTCCTATTATATACGATGCCTAGATATTTCAGGAAATCTACCTGGGGAATGAGCTCGGTACGATACATCAGAGAAATGTTGACACGATCCTTAAAAGAGAATGGCAGAAGCCTGTACATTATAGTGCGCTGCTCAGCCGGTGCGCGTCGTCTTTGTTGTCATCGTCCGCTAGCACCCGAGCACGTGCGGCCGTTTAATTAGCTGTTAGTGGCGAAGATCCTAAAGCCGTGGGTCTGCCCCTCCTATCTCGTGCGACGTGACCGCCTAGTTCGATGACTAACTCAGAAGGTGTGGACAGACAGACAGATGGACGGACGCACAGACCATCCGAAGCTTCGCCCCACTCATCATCATTCACTCCGCGGGTATATGCTGTGATTTTTTCGGCTGCGCGGTATACCTGGCTACTTAGTTCAGGACATGCTATAACCCAGCTAATTACGCCAAGTAATGAAGTCGAGGTAATTAAGCCACATCTTAAGAAGACCGTACTAATGAATACATGTAAAGCTAGAACCGGGCTAACTAAAGCATGCAAGTTAATGAGCTAACTATATTATGCTAATTAACGCGACGTTGCTCATGAGCGGGCTGAGTAAAACCAGGCCAATTAGCTCTTACTAATATAATGACAATTAGTATCCGGCTAATCAGGATTACGTTCAATAGCTCGATACTGATCATAGCCTCAGTGATTGGGTCGCGATAATTACCTTTTAATTGAGACTTTATCGATTAAGAGAACTCAGTGTAATGGTCATTAAGCCCCATCTAATTATTACAATAAAAATTTGAAGGCGACCATACACATAAGTAGACAATCAACTTATAAAAAGCTGTAAAAAGCTAGGTTATCACAAAGGTGGTGGTGGTGGTGGTGGTGGCGCTGCTGCTGCAGCAGCAGTAGGGTGCCTTGATGCCCGCGCGCTCCGCTGGGGGGCGCGCGCAGCGGGGGCGCGCGCATCGAGGCACTCTAAGCAGCAGCAGGCGCGGTTAGGATGGCCTGCATGGCCGGCAATTGTTCTGTTTGAGCATCTCCTGAATTTGGAAATTGTCACCACGTGTCAGACAGCCCAGTGTCTTGCAGGAAGACCAACAAAATTCGTTGCACGTTCCTCCTAGTTGCCGCGGGTCCTTCAGGAAAAACTTTTCTATGGCTTCAGCCTTGCACAAGCAGTGTAATAAGCTTACCAAATTATTTTATATGCAAAGAAGCTGCCGCTTAGCGTTTACTGCATAAAACGGTTGACAGTCACACCGGCACCTTCACAGCCACGAGTTGAACTCGGGCATCCTCAGAATCAACGAGTTTGTATCCGAGTTCATGCGTCCATCAGTTTGATTGACAGATGGCCACGGCGAATATCGGGTACGTCCACCCCGTTTGCTCTTGCCGAGGAGCAGTACTCACGTCGAGCGGCACGATTAATATATCGGCTTTATCGCGCAGACTATACACACACGCATGCTGAAGTAAAAGTGATATCGCCAAGCGGCTAAGATGTCTCGAATTCAAGTTCCCCGCGCTCACGACATATCCAATCACAGCCGCGTTGCCGACAAGATGCGAGCGCCCCTTGTGACCACCTGTCCTTATATTTATATGCAATGCTGATAGAAGCGAAACGAGCAGCACCACAGTGCTGTGTATGCACCTTCGCTGCCTTCGAGAGTGGAAATTTCCACGCTGCAGGTGGAACAAAAGAACCTGTGCGAAAGAGGACATACGCCCACGAACACACCTGTGGGAGGCGCGTGTTGAGTTGGCAAAAACATAAGCACGACAATCACGTTGACGTCGCTGCACTGCTAAAATGTTGAGTGGGTGGCGGCGCTGACGTGTTTACCCGCGGTGTTTCTTTGATAACCGCTGCAAATATCCCACATGCATTTCCAACGTTACGCTCGTTCGTGTAGCCATTTTTATCAACGATGCTATCACGCGCTCCGCACTGTCTTCATGCTAAGGCCACCGCAAGCGGGCTCGGAGCAAACTCGGCTGCCCGAGAAGCTCTGGTCATCCTGCATTGCCCCCCAGGGCTATTCCATATTCCAATGAGTATTTAGTTTAGGGAACTTTGAGTTAATGAATAATTTCTTTGCGTTCCTTGAAGTTCCCTCAGTTGAGAGCTCACTGTATAATGAAAACAAAGTCTTAATTTCTTGTCAATCCAATTACTGTGTTGTCTACGTTTTCTTTTATTCTTTTTAAAAATAGTCTTCCTGAATGAAATACACTTACCAGCGTCGCCTGAAAGCGTAGGACTATACCTTCCTTCTCCAGGATCTGGCGGCTGTCCTTCCTTGCCCTCCTCGGAGTTATCCTCAGCACTGATTGCAGGGTGTCTTCGGGAGAACCGAAACCATTGTGGGGAGGAACGGGCTGTGCAATCGATAACGCTGTCACAATAAAGTACTCAAACACGGAATGGGTCTATTTCGCATCCTCTTCTTGAGGATGAGTTCACATCAATCAATCAATCAATCAATCAATCAAAAGAGTGAACTGACGGTGTCATAGCAGTAGCACTTTGTTGTTCGTTCTCTCACTTGAGCGATCATTAAGTCATTCATACAACCAATCAGAAGCTCCATGGTACTATGGTTACAAACAAATCAATTAGAATTAAATATTAAGAAAACAAAATACATTATTTTTCATCCGCGAAACCGTTCCATTTTCCGTGACCCACAGCTCACTTTTAGAGGAGTTTTGATTGAGCGTGTTCAGACTCAAACTGAATTGGACCAATCACGTAGATTAACTTCGTACCCAGGTATCACGGTCCATTGGTGCAATTGGAAAAATAAGATGCTTACTACCTCTCTGGGTGACAAAGCAGCTTTACTACACTTTGGTTTATTCAAGCATAGATTACTGCGTATTAATCTGGGGCTTTACAACGAAAAAAATAAAATTGGTATTGACAAAATGCAAAAAAGAATGCTGCGTATCATTGAAAATGTTCCCCGTCAAACGCCTTCTCCTCCACTTTTTCATAAACATGGAATTCTAAAATTTGAAAAGATATTTTATAAAAAGCTTGCGACAGTCATCTATGATCAAATAAAAACGAATGCAGATCAATTTAAAGATGCTTACTCCCGGAAACTACAAACGTATAGTTTTAGAAACACCACCTATTACAGTGAGAGAATTCGGACGAACTATGGCAGGCAAAAGTTAGCACACCTCATTCCTTCATTTCTAAATTCAAGCAGCATGGTTATCAGCATAGTGAAGGAAAATCGTTCAACAACAGTTAAAAAAAAGATACATGCTTATCTACTCTCGCTTCAAACATGACATGTCTGTTTTGTTCTTCTGTATACGATTGTGCATCTCGTGTACTGTCTAGGAAATGTAATGCACCTTAAATTTGTGCAAGCCAGCTACGGTTCACTTCGTGATCTGACACTTGTTAATAACTGGTCAAAACTACGACTGTATTACTAAAGGTTTCTATAGCATATGTAAAAAGTGCACGTATAAGTGTCTTGGAATCTCTTGTCTCTTCTCCCAATGCTCTCTCTTTATTTTCGCTGTATCTTCTTTTTTCCATTTTTTTCTCTTGCTGTATTGAATTTGGTTCATGCTCTAAAGATATACTGAGCGTTGTGCATTATTTTGGTCTGGACGGGGATTGGCGCATTGTCAGGCATTTAGTTGCCTTTTCGCCCCTTCCTTCCCATTAAACCATTGGATAAAGATGTATGTTTTAATGATGATGAATAAACTTCAAACTTCAAACTTCAAACTTCAAACTTTGCGATGTCGTTGCAGCCAACACCGGGTGGTCAAAACTTCTGAAGCCCTCCTCTACCGCGTCTCTGATGATCATATAGCAGTGTTGGGACGTAAAACCCCACATTTAATTATTATTATGTTCCCTATAGTGCAGTACATACCACTTTGTTTCTTATTCCCTGAAAAAAAAAATGTGTTCTGTCTCAGTTGATTGATTCTCTGCACTGCACAATTAACATTTTTCACAGCCACACCTTGATATGGCTTTAATCGTAGACTGACATTGCAAGACCGTTGTAAGTAAAACGGTTATTAGAAGTTCCAACTTACGTTGTACAGCATTGTCTTCGAACCATACTGCCATTACTATTTCAATAATATCAACTAGAGTTATTCTCGTTTTATTCAACCTTTGACACCATGAGGACGCGCTCTAATATTGAGGCCACCACACAACTGGTGTGTGATGTTTCAAAGTCATGTGTGGCTAATATATAGAATGAAGACTGCTGCTTACCTGCTGTGGCCTCTCTTCTTCTTTGATGTCAACGTCTATGACGTCGAAGTGTTCCACTCCAAAGTGCTCACGATAAAAGTTCTTGGTGAAATCATCACAGTCGTAGATGAGAAAGCTGCGACCATAGATGTTGAGCCGCCGGCCCAGCTGCAAGTCCTCGGGTCCAATGTACTCTTCTCCGTCGCTTTCTGTTTCGTACTTGCCGAACAAACCTGTGATTCGAAATGATTGACCGTAAGCATGTTCCGTTTTTTTTTTTAATGAATAGGTGTGCTATATGTTGCTACAGTGATTCTAAAGCCTAGGATTAGAAAGAGAGGGGAAAGCCAGGGTGAGGGGTTCTTAAGATTCGTTGCACACGACATTGAGAGATGTGTTGCGATAAAAAGATGATTATGCATGCCATTCAAAAGAATTCTTTTACAAATATTCTGCTGACATCAACATCAGATCCACACGGAGGGATCATTCCTAAGTTAATATTTGTGGGGGCACATTGGTATTATACATGTACTCCCTATCCTCAAGTCATTAGCTTATCTGCAGCTGCTTGACCGTGGAAAAACCAACTAGAGACAAATATACAGCTCTGTGGCTAGCCGCTGCAGATATACCGGAGCACATAAGACTGACCCACACTTAGCATCAGGTCTCTGACGACAACTCAGATATTACATTGAGAACGTGGAATATATTGTAGATATGTCTTTACATGGCACAGTACGCATGTTCCAGGCACTGAATGGGATCTAGTAAACAGCAAGGTATTCTGTCCTAACCATTACACAGGATATTCGGCAAATAGAGAACAAGGTCGACAATCTTTTAAAACAAAATTCTCGCGTTTTATTTCGAACCTACAAAATTGTCTTATTACCATTGTCTGAAGGATGGATATATAGCGGCCGTGGTAGCTCAGTTGGTAGAGCGTTGGACGCGTTATTCGAAGGTCGCAGTTTCGGTCACTGCCCATGGCAAGACATCTTTTCGTCCACTTTTCTTTCTTCACAATTATTTCTAATAACATCCCCTATACTTTTCTTGGTATTATTGTCTGTAGATTCTCATTAATATTGTGTTTAACTAAGAAAACAAGCGCAGCATGGATATACAGCCCAGACAAGACTGCCAGTGTAAGAAGAGAATGAAGACAGTTGTTGCTTTCCGCGCTCGACCCGCTAGACAACCGGTCGGGTTACCTCTGCCATTTATCCATTGAACGTGTCACGGGTTTGCCGCTAAAAGCGTGCTATCCAGTGGTGGAGGTGTCAACGACGTCGTCGCTTGGACAAAAGAGGGTCGACCTGGCAGGCAGTGCATTTGAAATTAAGCTTAAGAAGGAGGAGGCGGGATTATAATCGACCCTCTATAAGACAGCATATAAATCCAACTGAACCGTTGTACACCGCAGGAAAGTTCCAAAATCGTCACTTCCGCCCACATTTAGGCTGTTTACAGGCGTTAGCTGGGTGATGCAGGTTTCAGGTTGCTTCCCTAGGTTGTTGATAGGCTTAAGCAAGGTGGCGCTACATTGTTTCAACGTTGATCCTCAGCGCGAGGGGGTTCGAGTTCATCCACAGACAGTCACAGACAAGACACCATTGCCCCAACTCCAGAGACAGTAACTCGCGGCGAAAGCAAACGCACTTCTCATAGAACTGTGGGTACGTCGTCGTTGGTGCACGCATTCCGCCGTTTCGTGATCTTCTCGCAGCCACCGTCGACCTTCCCGTTCCCTGTAGTATCGTACTCGGGGTCTTCAACTCGCCGCCGTCGCTTCGCAGCCATTTGTTGGTCTACGTTGTTGTTGTTGTTGTTGTTGTTGTTGTTGTTGTTGTTGTTGTTGTTGTTGTTGTTGTTGTTGTTGTTGTTGTTGTTGTCGTTGTCGTTGTTGTTGTTGTCGCTGTTGTTGTCGCTGTTGTTGTTGTTGTTGTTGTTGTTGTTGTTGTTGTTGTTGTTGTTGTTGTTTTCCTCTGCAAATGGCTCGTACCACGTGTTTCCTTCTTCAAATTAGTGAGCCAGTGATGATTAGTGGGATTCATCCGATTTCTTTGGCACATACCCGTTTGTGATGACAGTTCTCTGTTAGGCCTCGCAGCGGCACGTAATCGTTAAGACTGTGACATACAGTTTTCTGCGATCGGCTCGCAAGGAACTATTTTCTCAGCCGCTTTGCTGTTAATATTCCTGGGTTGGCCGTAAGTTTAGCGGTAAAACTCGGTACTCTTACGCAACACTTGGACGGCTCGAAAAGTGATTTTTCGCTTAATCGATGGTATATCATAGAAAGCTCCGCTCCTTTTAATGTTACTACTCTCGTAAAATTATGGTGATGATGATGCCGCAGTATTACTCATACCCACGCGGGGGGATCGGCCAATATTTTATTATAAAAATTATTGATACATTTTCAGTATTGAATATTGATATCTAAGAAAAGCAATGCACGCTGAACAGAAAGAGTGCAATAATTGTTTTCCCCCATTAAGATCAGACAGTATAGTCGTTATTGTGAACAGAAATTAACGTGAATAAAAAAAAACGTTTTTTGTGTGTTTAAGCACTATTCTTATTTAACATAAACCGTTAGGGGCAGCTTATAGAAGAAGAACAGCGCGTGCCTGGACAGGGCGTTCGAAGCAGACAGTGGATCACAACGCGGCAATTGGAAGTTACTTATACCAGATTGCGTTGTGGAGTTCCACAACTAAATTATTATCTACATAACGTTGGTCTAAAAGCGTCACCTTTTTCTGTCAGGTTTGCGAAGAAATGGAAACGATAGACCATTTCTTTTTATTCTGTCACCGATATTCTTATCAGAGGAAAAGATACTTGGTAGCTCCACTTGAAAAATTAGGATTAGAGTTAAATGTGGCAGTAATTTTATCGTTTGGCAGCATTAAATTTGGTTGTAACCACAGGGACGTCTGCTCTGCGGTATTTGACTACATAATTGAAACAAAGCGATTGCCGTGTTGAAGTGCCTTTTTTATATATACATATCATTCGTTTTAGACCAACCATTAGCTCTGTCTCAAATCGCATCTGATAGCCTGCAGTGATCACATTTGATCCCTGCTCAAATATACTCCTTTTTCGATTTTTGGCTTTTCTTTCTATATGTATATTTTGTTCAGTCCAAAATTACTTTGTGTTTGTAAAACCATAAGCCTTTACTTAAAGGTCCTGCCGCCCGGTCCTTGGCCGATCCCCCTTCGTGGGACTGCGCCAGAATAACAAGAATCATCATCATCATCATCATCATCATCATCATCAACCGAACTTTGTGCGAGGGCTAGCAAGCCGAGTGCACTGAGAGAACCTTCGAGGGTAATCCCATTAAGACCCAGGATTTACAATGTCGTCCGAACTCGACGTTGACGTCCCTCGGCGGCTCAAGAAGGAGGTCGCGGCCCTCACGAGAGACCCGCCACCGGGAATCTACGCCGCACCCGATGAGAACGACATCACCCGGATTCACGCACTCGTGGTGGGACCCTCCGGGACGCCCTACGAAGGAGGCTTCCTGCTCTTCCATCTCGTGTACCCACTCGAGTACCCCAACAAGCCGCCCGTGGTTCGTTTCCTCACGACGGACGCTGGTCGGGTATGGTTGCACCCTTACCTCTACGAGAGCGGCGAGGTGTCCCTCAGCATTCTCGGCACTTTCTCCGGACCGCAATGGAGTCCTGGTCTGTCGCTAGGGCACGTACTCCTTTCAATCCAGTCGCTGCTGTCCGAAAATCCTTACTACGACCGCCTTTTCCGCATCAACGATGCCACCACCCGAAAAAGAGCGGATGACTACAACATCTACATCCGTCACGAGGTTGTCAGGGTCGCAGTGTGTGACGCGGTGGAAAGCTGCTTCGACGACGGTTCTTCGTATCCGTCGGCGCTTCGGGAACCAGTGCTGAAGCTGTTCCTTGAGCACTACGACAGTTGCGAGGAATATGTCAAGCGTCACTTGCGTCTGAGGTGCGCGGAAATCGGCTACCCCAGTATCTGCCCTCTTCAAGTTTCTCATTACGAAACGCTGCTAGCACGGCTGCAGGACCTAAAGGCGAAGGTCGAGAAACGAGGCTAGTCGGTGGTTCCAGGCACCACCCGCTAGTGCGCGGTAAAGAACTCGGTCGCGTTTCGCGCGCGTGAAGCTAGCAAGATATCTTTTTGTGCGAAGAAGGGTCGTTGCGCTCCTAGCGTATCTACGACGGAAGAAGTTATCAGTGTACTCGTAGGTGAAGGAAAAAATGTCAAAATTACACGATTTGACGAACGACTGGCGCTGGCTAATTGACTCACAGTGTCAGACACTTAAATCTTTCTCGCAGTTAGCAAACGACATTTATGGCTTTTAGTCTTGTATTTATAGTGCATGCACAGACTGCGTCAGCATAGCTTGCTCATCGGAGGGGGTGGGGGATGGTGTGGCAAGATAGGAGGCTGCACTTAACAATTGGAAGTCAGAGTTGTTCCCATCTTTACACATAGGATGACTAGTACAAACGGCGGGGCATTCTGAGGAGCACGTCACTGTGTCATTTTTCTTCTTTAAGGCCCTTCCTCATCACGAGTGAAAATTGGCCGTCGATGGTGTCGTCGTCACACGAGTGATGCAAATGATTCATCGCAACACGATCATGTAAATGTCGCAGATACCCGAATTTTCTGACGTCATTACAACGACGTTTAGGTTTCGATCGACGGCGTCATCACATAGCTTCACGACTTCATTATATGACGGTGACGGCGATGGTAAAAATTCGTCGAGAGTGTTCATACAATTGCTATCGCAATGAAGGTCATGTCACCGGGAGTCGAGCCGAGCACCTCTCGCTTTGCAGCTATTTATACACACCATTTACATTTGCTGGTACTCGGAGCTCAGTGGCACTTCGGCATGTTCTCGTTATCACTCTCTTTCATACTCCTCTTGGTGGTGGTAGTGGTTAGAATGAAGAGGAAAAAGGCACCTAATTTCTGTCTGCCTTCAGGCGACACGGCGCAGTGCCTTATAGGGGTGGGGGGAAGGAGGGATAAAAAGAATAGAAGGAAAATAGACGGAGAAGAAGACTGCCAAGCGAGAGAAAAAAAAAAAGGAGATAGGAAAGTGGGGATCCGGTCGAAGCAGTCCAAGGGCGGGGTGCCACAATGCGAGAGCTGCAGGGCGTCAGGAGACCGCGGAAGGCGACCGCGGAAGGCAGGGCGTCAGGAGACCGCGGAAGCTACGCTGATGTCGGAGATCGCGAGGGCACAACCGTCCAGCTTGAAATCCTGCGAGCGAATCCATACTCCTCTTCTTTTCTATCTCTTTACTTTCTACTATTCTCCCTTTCCCCGACCCCAACTGTAGGGTAGCCAACCGAGCCAAACTTGGTTAACCTCCCTGCCTTTCTTCTCTATTTATCTCTCTCTCTCTCTCGTTATCACTAACAAGATGGCGCGAAGGGCACGCTCAAACGGTCGTCGCCCGTGTGTTGCGACGACCATTTGGGCATGGCATTTCGTGCGTGCGCACCTACCACCTATCTTGGGAGGGAGGAGGTTTGTACATCTTGTGGTTGCACCAAGAGATTGCGTCAAGTTACGGGAGTGCACCGCCATCCACTGGATGGCGGTGCTTCTATATGGGGAATATATGATGAAAAGATGCGAGATGGTGGTACTTGGAGTGTTGAATAGATGGACGAACAGACACACAGACAGATGCATGGATGGACGCATGAACGGACGCAGGGGCGGCTGCATGGATGAACGCAGGGACCGACGCACGAACAGACGCACGCACGGACGGGCGGATGGACGCATTGATGGTCACACAGATGGACGCATGGACGGACGGAAGCAAGAACGAATGAACGGACGAATGCTTCGCCCCACTCATTCACTCCGTGGATATGCTGCCATTTTTTTTTTGTGCGTCCTTTCTGTTCGAGAAGCGCGCTGCAAGCTTCGAGGTTCTTGTCCTTCGTTGTGCTATATTAATTTTTTTTTGCGATAACACTCGTTGCTTCACCCTTGTGGGGAAACAATGCACATAAAACGCTCAGTGACCTCAGTGAAGACCTGTTTCACTTTCGTGTTTTACCGAATATAACAGAGGGATCAGGTATGTTTTTTTTTCTTGAAACAGTAATTTATTTATGCAAGAAAAATTGTTCCTTGACACGCTTCATAACAAACCACCAGGAAGGCACAACGTTCTTCGTGAACAATGCTAGTACTTTCTCTACTTGCTGTACAGATCCACTCACCCCTGCTTTCTTGCGCCTTGGGGATCCTTTGGCGTCCCAACAGAATCGGTGCGAGCTCCCGTTGTTCCAACGGCCGGTGCATCTCTTTCAAGTCGAGTGTTTCGTCCACCAAGAAGTACTGCATGGTAAAATGAGTGGCAAAAAAATGAACAGTTTTTGCATATTCTTCGGTGCATCCAATGGCTATCCTGAGTTCAAACCATCCTTCCATAGGAAGAGTCCTCGCGCCTTAATCACGACTCTCTCCCTCTCAACTAAACACCGCAACGGGATCGCGAGAAATCGTGTGCAATATTGCACGTAGCCCAGTACTTGACTTCACAGGAATGATAAACATCGGCACTTCGTTTTCGGTTTCACCCGCGAATTCGGTTGAATTTTCTTACTGCGCAGTCGAAACTTAACTGAGCAGTAAGGTTCAGAAATGTGAAAGCTGCATTGAGCACTTCGCAGGAAGGGCTTCAATTGTCCCATCTATAGCGGCCGCCCGCCTCCGTTCATTAGGAACGTTTATTGATTTAGTTCATTTAATTACTGTCCTGATTGGCGACTTGACTAATCTTAAGGTGTCTGCCACTACAGAAGCAGTAACAGTGAATGAAGCAATGAATTGTCACATTTCACAGCTTTCTTGAAACATCCTGTGAAACATCATCAAATAATATCCCAGACAACCGCTTTCAAAACATACGCACCTAAGACGCTGTAGTCTGCCGCTGATGCAGAGAGTGTCTGGCCGAATTCCAGGGTGCATTGCCTGATCTCATGAGTAATGACATTATATGTACGCATGTCATGCGTATGGGGGGGCAGTGGGGGGGGGGGGGCGCTTTCCTAGTCATTCAGAAGGGGGTGGAGTGCCAAAGCCACCTCCATAAATTGACATAATAAGCAGTATGACACTGCAACTCGGGGGGGGGGGGGGGGGTCAAAGCCATCTCGTTACATTGATATATAGGAAGAGGGTGGTGCTGCGACTAACCCTCGCGCCCCCTTAAAAAAGAACCCTGCGTACGCCTGTGGCCATGTGACTTGCGCTGCACAGAGAGACGACGCCGTAGTGGAGGGCTCGCAGTGAACTCTAAGTGCGCCACGGTGCAGCAGGTGGCGCTGCCAACGTGTCTCACTTAGACTTCACCACACAGCTACATCTAAGCACACAGGCATATAAAGTTTCACCTTCATCTGAATGCGCGAAAATTTACAGTGCGTCCCGCAGCACCGGGGACGGGGGACGCAAGAAATTCCAATCGCGTGACGACGTCACAAAGTGAAGTGGTCGCATAGAGATTGCCAAAAAATATCTGACGTCATTACGACGTTATCATGATGTAACTGTGACACCACGTGACTTTACGTATAGCATGAGGACGTCACCCCGTGACTATGTATACAGCTTGGTCAAAAGTGGGCTGATTACGGAGGCCCGAATAACGGAGTGTAGTGCCAGCAATCTTGGAGGCAATAATAAACAGTATTAGGTGCAGAAACTTTTTGTAGGGTGGCGGGCAGGATCGATTCAATTACGGCCAGTCATGTAGGCTCCCTAAATACAATGCACTGAGAAGGAAAAAAAGTGATGAATGTCAGCTAAGAGTCATTTTAGTCGAATGCGTGAAAAACCCTGTAAGTTTCGTATTTCCTCGACATTTGTTGCGTTCACAAATTTTTATAATAATAATAATAATAATAATAATAATAATAATAATAATAATAATAATAATAATAATAATAATAATAATAATAATAATAATAATAATAATAATAATAATAATAATAATAATAATAATAATAATAATAATAATATAATAATAATAATAATAATAATAATAATAATAATAATAATAATAATAATAATAATTTGGGTTTAAACGTCCCAAATTTCGACATGATTATTGGTGACGCCTTAGTGAAGGGCTTTCGAAATACCGACCATCTGGCGTTTTTTTTTAGAGGCTGACAAATTATATTTCTCGACCCATTTTTTTTTTACGGTGCGATGGAAGGCATTCGCTGTGTTTGTAGCTGCAGTAAGTAACCGCCAAAACTTGCGGCTATTTTGCAAGCAGAATTTTTCGGTCTGAATGGCCCTAGACACAGAGGTAGATTTCCTCTAACAACGCTGAAAATTGACAGCAATTCCACCAGCCCTTTTCGCCACTTGTGGAAACTGTCGTCGCTCTTCTTTCACAGGAGTTCTTGTAACTATGCTTAATCATCTTTATTTCAAGTTTTTTTTTACTATTTTTGAGAATATCAAGCTCTTATAATGACGCTGTTATAATTATGGGGCACTATGCGCCTTCCCTGTATTTGTACTGTGTTGCGTGCGCCCGCGCCTGTGTCATATGAGCGGCTTGTTCCGGTGTCGTTACTTTCCCGATGCACGATTCAAGCCAAGCCACCGAAAACGTCACTACGCATATACCCAGCAGCCGTGCCGAGTGGAAGTGCACGCCATTTCTGAGACTAAGTGTAAGTATAGCAAAAGTATTTCGCTTCAAAATCTTAGTGACCTCGTAACAGCGGACCACGGTTGCACGAGCACTTTGAAAAGCTGCTCAACACGCGTTGACGAGCATGGGATTATTATCTCACGCGAAGCCAGCGCCACTTCAATGTATACTCTTAACGCAGGCCTATTTTCATGGAGTAATATCTTTTATCATGAAGAAACCAGCAACATTTCAATACACTATATAAAAAAAATCGACGACCGCGTACATGGTCACATGACCAGGTAAGTAGGATCATTCAGGTTTTTACCGCCAGGGACACCGCAGGTCATGTTTTGCGACTTTCGAAGGAGAAATAAAGATATCAATGCACCTCTCAGGAAGAAACAGGGTTGTTTTGAGTCAATGCGAAGCACAATCTTTCCATCAGTGGGGTGATCTCGTTTTGTGTTCTGGGCACTTGTTGGTTCCTTCAATGAGCACTGACATATGATAGTATTGGAAATATTGCACCCTGAATGCGTCATGTTCGACACCTCTATAGGAACTTTGGGTTTGCCGGCACCTTTGTGCGCCAACATTTCCTCACATCACCTCAACGAAAGAAACAGGGAAGACGAGTACGTGGCAATATGTTACATCGATACATTTATACCGGGTGTTCAAAATTAAGCTTTATGATTTTTTTAAAATTAGGCGCTCGAAGGCACGTGAGAACCACTTGTGCAAATAAGTTAAGCGGCCAGGGGGACAGAAAGTTAGATGATAATTATCGCTGTCAGCAGCCCAATTAACTAAAATTTAATAATTAACTTTTTACTGGCTGCGGTAAGTTGGCATGTTTATATTGAAAAAATGTAGGCAGTGGTGTTTGTACACAGTTTCAGTTGGAAGATTTTTTCTAGCACGCCTGTGTTCCGAGATATCCGGCTCCAAAGTTTAATTGTCTTTCGCACGATTACGCATGCAAGAGGGTGAGGGTCCGCGCAAAGCTCCTCCCTAAAGTGACGCATCTGTTGCGTGTGGTGTTTAGTGTGTGAAGAGGGTGGAAGCGTAGGCATAGGTGATAGCAATTACCCTTGCCCTCTTCGGCCGGCGAAATCAAAATGTGACAGCGCGGTGCGCCATGAGCCTTACGCATGATCCTGATGAACGCGATAACAGGAGACCATTTTTCGCGACGTTTTTTCGTGACTTTAGATCACACTGAGACATCTTCTTGTGAACGCGTTAGCAGGACCGTCCTGCACTAGGGTGCCTCCGGTTAGAGCACAGCGTCTCTGCATTGAAGGTCTACCAAGGAAATCCACGTGGAGTCCTTTCGAGCTAATATGGCTGCTTCTGGCGTGAGGTATTCTACCAAAGTAAAAGTAGACGTGGTGCTTGCAATGGCTGAAATGAATGGCAACGCTTCGTTAGCAATGGAGCTTTACGCGTCTCGCCACCCACACCGTCCCCTTCCAACAAGGCCCACTTTCACAAACCTGTTTCGACGCTTCTGCACAACAGGCTCTGTCCACCTTCCGAGACGGACCAGGAAGGCAATCGTCGATGAAGACTTTGAAATCGACGTTGTCGCGTGCGTAACCTCGATGCCAGAGCTCAGCATCCGACAGATTGCCGATCAGTGCGGTCGCAGCATCGGAACAGTCACAAATGTTTTAAGAAAGCACAAGTTCCATCCATATCACGTTTACCTTCATCAGGACCTAAATGAGGCGGACTTTGAAAGGCGAGTTGACTTCTGCAATTGGGGCCTCATCAAAACTGATCAAGAAAATGACTTTTTGCACAGAATAATTTGGACTGATGAAGCTCGGTTTTGCCGAAATGGAAGTGTTAATCTTCACAACGCCCATTATTGGGCACAAGAAAACCCACACTGGCTGAGGCAGCACAAGCATCAAGTTCGCTGGAGTGTGAATGTGTGGTGCGGCATACTCGGGGACAGGATCATCGGACCTCACTTTTTTGAGGACAACTTGAACGGAAAGATGTACACAGAAGAAATATTAGGTGTTGTCATTGATGATCTTGTCTGCAGTCTTTCCCTGAATGACCTGCGCCAAGTATGGTTTCAGCACGATGGAGCACCACCACATTTTTCTACCAGGGCGAAGAACTGGTTGGACAGACGTTTTCCACAACAGTGGATTGGGCGCGCAGGAGCGATGTTTTGGCCACCAAGATCACCTGACCTTTCTCCGCTCGACTTTTTCCTTTGGGGCTACGTTAAAGATCGAGTTTACGTAACAGAGCCCAGCGATGTTAATGACATGAAGGACAGGATAACATCTGCCTGTGCGAGTATTCCTGCAGAAGTACTGCGCCGAGTCATCGAGTCGACGCGACAGCGGTTCATGCTTTGCGTTGCTGCCGAAGGCAGGCATTTTGAACACTTTTTGGGGCATTGACGTCTTGAGAGGTGAAGAGTTTCGATGAGATTTGTGCATGACCGAAATATGCTTATGTAGCAGCAGGAAATATGCGTTAGCAAGGATAAAACTGTTTCAGTTATTATTGGTGGAGTTGTTGCTCTTGTTTCAATAAAAGTTACAGTACTCGGACATCAGCAGTCACGCTATTCGCGTAGCCCAGGCAACGACCACGCATGCTTCTCTAGTGATTATTACGCACGCGCACTGGCATCCAGATTCTCCGCTCGCACCATTATCTCGGCATGGTATCTGCCACTATCGTTAGAGGCTCTGCAGTTGCGTGTTACGACACTGGTTGCAAGCGTTCTTCGATTTTTGATTTCGACGGCCGAAGAGGGCAAGGGTAATTGCTATCACCTATGCCTACGCTTCCACCCTCTTCACACACTAAACACCACACGCAACAGATGCGTCACTTTAGGGAGGAGCTTTGCGCGGACCCTCACCCTCTTGCATGCGTAATCGTGCGAAAGACAATTAAACTTTGGAGCCGGATATCTCGGAACACAGGCGTGCTAGAAAAAATCTTCCAACTGAAACTGTGTACAAACACCACTGCCTACATTTTTTCAATATAAACATGCCAACTTACCGCAGCCAGTAAAAAGTTAATTATTAAATTTTAGTTAATTGGGCTGCTGACAGCGATAATTATCATCTAACTTTCTGTCCCCCTGGCCGCTTAACTTATTTGCACAAGTGGTTCTCACGTGCCTTCGAGCGCCTAATTTTAAAAAAATCATAAAGCTTAATTTTGAACACCCGGTATAGCGCGATACCTGTAGGACCAGTTTCTTTCGGTGCCTGGGGTCGACGACCCCTTTGCCGTCCTCGACGCAGAAGAAGCGGAGGACGTGGCGGTCGTAGCGCAAGAAGCGCCACAGCTTGTCCCGCTGGCTCTTGGTAGTGTGCAGCTTGCGCCGCTGCTGGGAGAGGGCGCGTCGGCTAGCCGTGTACGGGTCCTCGGGCAGGGGCTCGGGTGGCCGCACCTCGACGCCCTGCTGACGCAGGTAGTCCTGCGACAGAGTACGTGGCCGAGTCGCGGAGTAATTTAAGAGATACCCGGATGAACAACTGCGGCCGAACTTGGTTTCCCGTTCGCGGTGACAAAATTAAGTTTCCCTCTCCATACCATGATGACGCATGAGAGTGTGAAAGGGACAGGGACGTAAACAGGCAAATCAAAGGGATATAAACATTATTGTTATAATAAATATTTACAACAACAACACCAACAACAACAACAACAACAACAACAACAACAATAATAATAATAATAATAATAATAATAATAATAATAATAATAATAATAATAATAATAATAATAATAATAATAATAATAATAATAATAATAATAATAATAATAATAATAATAATTCTCTCTATTCTTTATTAAACCAGTACCGACCCTCAAGGGTTGGTTAGGCACACTCTTATTTTAATATACGCTAACGATGCTTCTTTTGCGATTTGTTATTGTTTTTTTATCCTCATATCAAGATATTTCTCTCACATCAAGATATTTAAGGAAATTCATTCAGTGAACGACTGTCACTTGTGCAGTCAGATTAGAGTTATTTCTCCGAATGTTGGGACAACAATAACCTTTTTCTGAATACCTACACGAGTATATCTTGCTAAACATCCACCATGCCATTTTCGTACTCCGCCAATACCATGTTGTTATGTAAAGTTTATGAATTCAGTGATCTTGGTGTTGTTCTCGATAGCATGCAAATTTTTTTCTGCACACACTAAATGTGGTGCCATGCATGGACTTTGTTATATCGGCTGTGTTTGCAGAATCTCTCAAGAATTCAGTTCTCCTACGGCCTTCCACAAGCTGTACACCAAAACATCTCTTTCTCAAGTTGAATATGCATCTGTGATTTGAAATTCGATCACTAAATCTGGCAGCGATGCCACTGAGCGAGTCAAGAAAAAATTCATAAGCATTTACAACGATCGTTTCGCTAGAAATGACTCTGGATTTCGTTCTAACATAGTCAGACTATTACCATTGCAATGACTGCACTGCCTACGAAATCACCCTGATCTATTATATCTTTACAAATAAGCTCATGGTGTGATATCCTGCCTTTTGCTTCTCAGCTGTGTAAATTTTTGGATTCCGTGTAAGGTAAACCGAGAAAATTAACCATATACCTGTCAACATCTTTCAACACTCTACCGCTAACTCAACACAAAATCTCTATAAAGTTAACTTTAATGATCTTAATGCTTTCACAATCTACTGTCATTGTTTTTATATCAGCTCTGCAGTGTCTTGACACAGTTTTTCACAATGCCCAAATTCTTCCCTTTTGCGTCTTTCAGGAAGGCGTCTACATAGTTCTGTGTATTCCCCTTTATTTTTCGCTCCCATTCCAGGATTGTCTTATCTTCTTAGTGTTCCCATTTTGTACTGATTTTTTTGTCTTAGCGGTTTCATTGTACTTATTTGATTTTTTTTCTGAAGACTGTCTGTATTGTATTGTTTATTTTATTGTTTTATTTTTGCTTGCGTCCGCCCTGAGACCTCGTGGTTGTTTAGGGGCACGTTACACAAACGATTGATTGATTTATTGATTAATCGATTGATTGGTTATTATTATTTCATTCTGGTGGAGAAGAACAGAGGAAAGAAGGAGAGAGTAGGCTGACCAATATTGACACCCGAAGAGGTACAACGCCTGCCTACCCTCCAGGAGGAGGGAAGAGATGGAGCATAGGAAAATAGGACAGAAAGAGGATCGTAATAAAAAAAAAAATTCGGCAGATCCCACGTACAAGGGAATCGACGTTATGCGAAGCATGCGGAGGAAAGATGACCGTGTTGCAATCGTTTTACTGAGTGACACGTCATGAAATAACGATAAATTAATATACAAATGTCACACGCACAGACATATAATCAAGAGTACGTTTCAGATGTTTATATAACCAGATGTTTGCACTTGCGCAACGATACCCACTGGAACATGCGCATTAGCAACACCAGAAGCTGATATGAAGTGCTGATGCTCGCGAAGATGATGACCCTGGACACTGCTACATAAATCAGCTTCAGCTCATGGCAACTAACCACATCTGACGTTAACTCGACGTAACGGATGTATCAAAATAGTACATATGTAATGTTTATAAAATTAGGTCGACAGCACTGCAACCACTATTGACGTTTCACGAAGATTAGCGTCTATTTGAAAAGTAGTTCCGAGACCTGGCGTACCCTGTGGTAAAATGCTTCATTCGCACCCAGAATGCTTGAGTTCGATTGCTGCTGGGACCTTGAAATTGATTATTTGCATTCATCAGAGGGCCAGCGTTGCCTATGTGAGAATTTCTTAACACCGAGATTTATTCTACGCCTTCATTGGGTCGACGCCATCTATGTCGGGTATTTCTTGATACTCGCGCGTTTAAATTGCCCATGCGTGTTCTTGTCGTTCCTGGGAATATAACAAGTGTCAATCACCTGTGGCACATACACACATACCAACGGCACATACCCGCACGTGGGTATATGTCACTGTCTGGCGGGAAGTGCTTGACGACAAGTGACGGGATTGTGACATTAGTCATGTCTTGACGAGCGCGTCGTATTCGTCAAACCATCGTACCCTCTGATGCTAATTTTGGTTCAAGCCAAGTAAATGGGGTGACCACGAGAGCACCCAAACGTAAGCGGCTAGATAGATAGATAGATAGATAGATAGATAGATAGATAGATAGATAGATAGATAGATAGATAGATAGATAGATAGATAGATAGATAGATAGATAGATAGATAGATAGATAGATAGATAGATAGATAGATAGATAGATAGATAGATAGATAGATAGATAGATAGATAGATAGATAGATAGATACGCTCAAAGTCGCCGAAGTTCTCTAAGAAATGCTTCGCAATTAGTAACTCTACTGGCAACAAATACATGCAGCAACATAGAAAGTGGTCTTTAATAAATAAATAAGTAAATAAATAAATAAATTGATAAATCGCTGATTGTCCACTTTGGCAGAACAATTGCAGGCATGCGTATACCGCCAGCTTCTGTGACTGTTGGTGGAATAAAACTGAATCCAGTCCTCCTTACTCTTCCTCCTTCACGCAACACGACTCTTCTCACCCTGGTGAACTTGTCGCAGTTGACAATCTTGTAGGTGATGCCGTAGAGCGAGATGGTGTTCCCCACGTTCAGGTCGCTCCAGTGGAAGCAGCGGCCGTCCGACTTGCGGATGCGATGTCTCCGCAGCACGCAACCCTGCAAGAGCGGGTACGCCGGCTCTTCTATAACAACGCCAGCGGCGAAGTTCTCGAATGATTGTTGAAGGCATAGGCGTGCGCTGCATACACCACGTAATACAGGCAGGCGGGCACTTCGGTATCTACAAGGTGGACGCCCCACCCTCCCTCCCCGTACCCCGCGCAACGATCGAAAGGGACACAAAATCAGCCCCGTATCGTTGGCCAGTTAAACAGATAGAAGCGACTTCATTATCGGCACTACGAGATCGTTGAATATAGCTGGCCAGTGGTTCGAACGGCCGTGGCCAGCAGCTTCACTTCTGCCTGGAGGCGGTAGTCAGTTGACAGGAGTTCATGCTCCGTTGTACCTGTATACCGTCATTGATTAGAGGGCCCGTTTTATCGCTCTGTATTGTTTGCCTGTGGAGGTGACTGAGAACCCCTGGTCTTGCATTTGAAGATCTGTCTGTTTTCCACACTTGCTAAAGGAAAGTAGGGGCAAGCTTCTCAAGGCCGGCCGTTCTGAGAAGCGGGAGGAGGAGGATGAGGAGGAGGAGGAGGAGGAAGAAGATGTGTGTGGACGGCGGATCTAGCTTTCTGCGAGGCACATCATGGGTTCATTTCAATTTTTGCGTCAATGGCGACGCCTGTTTTCATTCAGCCTCGTCCAATATCGGGGACCAGTATGCCCGCGTATCACCAGCGCGTCAGCGTCCCAACGCATCATCAGCTGTTCAGTTGGTGATGCGTTGCCGCGATGAAGCGAGAGACAACTTCGAAGTGACGACCAATCAGCGAATGATGTTTTGAACAGAGCTAACCTGTAACATTATCGAAGTGAATGGTAGATGCTTTGTTTGGTGCGTCGGTTTCGATTTCGCCATATGGTTTCGCCAGCTAAATTGGCCACACCTCATCGCTTCGTGGTGATTACAACTGGCCACATTCCAGAAATTTCTAAGTGGCTATGAACTATTCAAAGTGGCTACTTACGTCTTCGTAGGAAGGACTTCAAGTAATTCGCATATTGGACTCAATTGACTACTTTTACTGGTTAAAAAGGTAATTCTTTTAATTTCTGTAATTACTGCAATAAATAATGTTTGTACACATCTAAAGAGGCCTCCTGCGAAAGTAAAGGGAACGCCACAGGTAGGACGCAGATGCGTACTTTCTGTAATTTTAAATAATATGAGACACATTCCTTGAAACACGCTGTATCTATAGACATATGCATTGGGTACGGACATAAGCACCATTATCTGAACACCCTGACTTAGCCCCCCCTTAGTCACTGTGTGCAACCAATCTAATCGAAAAAAATCGTGTTCCTACCTGACTGAGACCACTGTTCTCCTGCTTGGGTTCTCGCACCGAGATGCCATCGTCTTCGAGGAAGTAGAAAATGTCAACAGGCCGTACTCGGTACTGCTCCAATGGCGAGTTATCAATTTCCTCTCGGAAGTAGCCTTGGAAGTGCAAAACCTGGGTGGAAGTGAAATTAAGAGAGTAGGCTCACTCTAATAGCTGAGCTACCTATGGTGCACATTCTTCTTACTTTAAACAAGGAAAAAAAAAAGGAAGCCCACTAATTGCACTCACATCATGTCACAGCAGATTGAAGCCACAGATGATGGGGGTAATTCGAAAGCACGGGGGTGTTATTTGCAGTATGCAATTATGGTGCAGCAACTACAAGGTAAAGAAAAAAAATGAAATTTAAATAAGGGAAGTGTTTCAAATGAATGCACCACTGTTGGGGACCGAGCCCACAACGTATGCAGAACACGTGCGATGCTCTCATAGCTGTGCAAAGGTGGCAGCCGTGGATTCTTCCTTCTCCGAAAGCTGTGGAATGTTCAAGTTATATTCAAATTAAGGATCACGTTTAAATGAACGTTAGCAGATACTGTGGTTCAAATTACATCCGAGAAGGGATAAGTAAATAAATAAAAGAAATTGGCAGTTATCCTGGCCTGCGAACGTATTGAATGCCCAGTGAAGCTGTATCAAGCACCCCACATGCCGACTGGTGGTTGGGATGGGGGGGGGGGGGGGGGGTGTAGTAGTAATAATATTTGCTTTGTGGTTGCTGTCGTAGACCGCGACTGGTTCCGCGATCATCTTGAGCGAGACAGCTTATGTGTCGTGCATTGCGTTCATATATACTGTTCTTTTGCTGTCTTTGTTTCCGTGGTCTACCCAGGCAGTGTTAGAATGAACTGAATGAGTGGCAAGACGGCTCTTCCTTTTATATATAAAAGGGGGAACCGACCCTGCGGGAAGGAAGAGCCAATTGGCGCCATTCGAAGCCCTCGTGGGAAGTGCAGAGCAGCTGCGACTTAATCTTTACCGGCAATGTGCGGGACAGTGTTCCCATTGTTCATGCTTCTTCTGTGGTTGACCTTATTGAAACGAATACTAAGTTTTATGCTCAGCATTAATACTGGGCTCTTTGTCTTGCATTGTTAAAGGACCCTTAAAGCAGCGAACGCATTCGTCGGATCAACGCCTCCTGGTCGGCTCGTCGCCCCGCCGCGGTGGTCTAGTGGCTAAGGTACTCGGCTACTGACCCGCAGGTCGCGGGTTCAAATCCCGGCTGTGGCGGCTGCATTTCCGATGGAGGCGGAAATGTTGTAGACCCGTGTACTCAGATTTGGGTGCACGTTAAAGAACCCCAGGTGGTCAAAATTTCCGGAGCCCTCCACTACGGCGTCTCTCATAATCATATGGTGGTTTTGGGACGTTAAACCCCACAAATCTATCTGGTCGGCTCGTCTGTCCATTTCCTGCCCTTTCTGAGCGCCGAAGGTGAACGCAGAGATTACACGCATCAGCTAGCAGAGAAGCAAGCGAGTGCGTTGTTTTTGATTAAAGGACCATTTAACGTGGCGTATCGTGTTTAGGCCATGAAATTATCCCACCAACGAGAGGTATGAAGCATCACTGTAATACACAGTAGGACAAGTTGCATATCATTTGTCGTACTGTGTGCTGATCACGTGACTTATAAGGCATGGGCTGTTAAAGGTTGACCCCTAAAATAGAGCGATTGGAAAAGGGAAGTGGCAAGATGGCAACATACCATACTCTACATTCGGCTAAAATGGCTAGCGGATTTCACGGTACTGCACGCAATTGCGGCTGCCGATTATGGGTAGTCCTGATCGAAGGGTTGTCAACCATTACCTCCAGCGAGCAAATGCAATAGCGGTGCCGGGAAGAAAATAAATGAAGAAAGAAAGAAATGTTGGGGGCGTGCAACCGTCAAAAACCTGACGGAGGCGCTTATAGGTACGATCCCCCCTCTGCACGACCGGTCCCGTGCAGACGTTCACTGAAGCGTGAGCGCTATACCACGAAGCATGCGACTCACACAAAAGCGCTCCCTGCTTCGTTTCTATTTAACAGCAATATCAGCGAGTGCATGGCCTGGCCCCGCACGGCCAAGTCGCAGAAACCATTTTCATGCATTGCTAATGGCGCGATGACTGTACATTTACGACGTGGGCATGTTGCGCCTGTGATGATATGGACAACGGCGAAGGGAAAAAAAAAAATGAAACGTTGAGGAACGCATTCAAGGAAGAAAAAAACGCAAGCAGAAACTCCCTTCTGGGAAAGTGCGTGTAAGTGTTACTGAAAATTACGTCATTTCACCAGCACACGGCTACATTAACAAGCATTGTAGCAGCAGCAGCGCAGACAGATTTTTGGGGGGGAGGAGAGAGGGAGGGGGTACCTCTTTGAAATGGTCATTTTTCGCTCTGTATCCCATGGCGAAAAAACATTCGAGGGGGCTGGGGCTCGTTGTGCCACCAACTGGCTACAACCCTGCTTACGGCTGCCATTTTTTTTTTTGAACAGTATACGACCATTATCCGGCATTCGCCATCATGTATAGCCGACACTGTGGCCAACAGTAGTCGAAATTTGTCATATTTTACTTTGTCATAACTGGTTGACATTTATGTAATCTATAGACAATCGACTTTGGCCATCATTGGACGCGTTGGAATTTATATATAATTTTCGCGATGATTTCATGTTCATTTTTGTGCCGTTGAGACTGTGCAGTATACTCGCAAACCGTTAGAAAACAGTAACCGTATATACGAATAGCGCTTGTTTGTTTTGAAGGCTGACTAACAAAATGTTTGGAGACGTCGTTTTTATTGTTAGTTAATATCTTAGACTGTTTCGTATTGATAATGCGGAATGTAAGGTGGCGTACTCAGCTAGATCGTTTTTCATCGTCATGCGTGATGACAGCGCCAGCATGAACAAGCGGTTAGCCAGCATCAAGTTTTGTGCAGACGACCGAGAAGCGCGCGTCTAGTGATATGTTTCACCTTCATCGTCACAAACTCAACTGAGTATAGAACAAATATACTGTACAAATTTCTGCTTGCTGACATAACCTGACTACGAACGACTCGCCGTACGAAGCAGTCAGATGAAAAACAAAACAAAACAAGTTAAAGTGATTAATTAATTGTGTTTCAGAACTCACTACTTCATCACCTAAAAATACTTATTAATATTTTTTGTTCTTTATCTCCAGCACTACCACGTCAGAAGAAAAAACATCCTAAACACTTTTATTCAACATGACGCACGTTCTCTGTCACGGTACTTGGAAAAACACTTTCTCAAGTATTTTATGGGTTTTCTTTTTCGCTTTCTTCTGCAGCATGTTCGCGCGCAAAAAGGGTGAGACAAGCGCATTTGCCGTAATTACGTTCCATACGTGTTTGCGTGTGGCTGCGTGCGTGCTTGTGCGTGTGGTTGAGCGTGGGGTTTTTCACAATACGTGGAATGCATTGCAGAGCCACTCAATCGAGGTCACTGATTTCGTCACTTTTGGTGGCCACCCTTCATTCATGGAAACCGTGTAACGATTCCCAGGAAGGCAGTCGCAGAGAAAGGGGTGACGCCTATCGTAACCGTGGGTTTTCTTTAACGCCATCGAGCGTGGTTTCAATTCTCATCGAATAAGCGAATCTAAGTAGCATTTTAATTTGTCCTGGTGACCCACATTCCAGAAGGTTCGCTTTTCCGTCCTTTGATCAGCTGTCGGCCTCGGATGGGATAGCTGGAATGTGATCGGCGAACAAAAAAAGTCTCTTTCTAACAATTTTTACTAATGATATATACTAAATCACAGTCGTGGAAGTGGTGATTCACATGTTTTCACTCGACAGCATTAGCATGCACGTTCAAAAAAGACCTACGTTTGTCATAATTTAGAAAGAAATCACCACATTTTTTAGGATATTTTATGAAACATTGCTCGTTAAATTGGTAATACGTTCTGGCAGGCTAGTTGGTTGATTTGCCCTTAAAACTTATTAAACTGCGCTTGCAGTGCTCTGATAGTTTTCTTCCTTGTGTCTTCCTCCTCTCGGGGGTCGAGCCAAGTCACTCGTTATTTCAAGTGCATAAAAACATTGAACCCAATAGGAACCTACGGCAGAGTGGAAATTGCTTCGTTAGATCGGGATCTTGGTAACATTGGGTTTTATTAGATCGAGTTTTGAATGCGTACACAAAAGAGGGTCAATTGGTTTGCAGCGTTGTTTACAGTACCTTCTTGTCATTTACGGCGAAGTTTGGCAGGAAGTTCTTGGAGGCGGCTGGCCTCCTCCTTCGGTGTTTGTGGGGATCGTCGTCGGTGCTGCGGGACTCCTCCGAAGTGCGGCCGCTCCCGAGCGTCGCGACGTTGCGGATCTCGGAGGGCGGTCTCGACTGCCGAGTCTCCAAGTGGCGCAGCTGCAGCGATCGCTGAAGCGATGAGACCGAGGTCGGCAGCGACCGGGCCATGGGCATGCCGCTCCGGTAGTCGAACGTGTGGCTCAGGGGGTAGCGATCCTTCTGCGGATAGTCGAGGAATGGGCGACGTTGCGGCATATCAGGCTATTTAAAGGGACAATAGGCAGAAAAATGATTGCTCTCATATTAGTAAATTACTCTAGCACATTACAAAGTCACCACGCATGGCGCTTGACAAACCCGTAGACAGGAATGTTTTTCAGGAGGACGGGTGGGGGAGGGGGGGGGCGAACGGAGCCGGGGCACTTGTTCACAGCCTTGGAAAAGACCTGCTTTTGTTATTTTTCCTTCCTCGGTAAAACAACCCCTTCTCGTTGATTTTTTTTGGGGGGAAGGCCCGAGTCCCGAGCTTCCCCCCCCCCCCCCCCCCCCGTTTACGGTTTTGGCGCCTGAATACGCTTCGTAGGTGAGGGAACCCGGAAACATGGGTAACGCCACCTTTAAAACTCCCACACCAAATGCCGTGACGACATCGATTTTGACGGCATCTAGTCAGTCCTATACGTAGTTTTGAACACATCAAAATAAAGTACGTTGTTCTTGGATAGGGCCAAAGATTTATTATATAGCAAGTTTCACGAAATTTCATTGAACCAATGTCCTCGAAACACGAAAACAGAAAGTGCACTCTGAAATCCGTGACGTCACGTGTGGTGATTCCGGCGCATATGTGGGGTTTGACGTCCCAAAACCACCCTATTATTATGAGAGACGCCGTAGTGGAGGACTCCTGAAATTTCTACCACACATCGTGTTTTTTAACGTGCACCCAAATCTAAGCACACGGGCCTAGAGCATTTTCTCCTTCATCGAAAATGCCGCCGCCGCAGCCGGGATTCGAACCCGCGACGTGCGTGTAAGCAGCCGAGTACCTTAGCCGCTAGACCACCGTGGCGGGGCACCCTCAATTATCTCCTCCGTCAGTAGACCTACTACAGTGAAATTAACGAGACTAGAGCTCTCACTGTCAGTACAATTTCTTCATATAAACTGATTAATAGTATAGGATTAGTGCAATTTAAATATATAATTTATAAGAGACGTTGCTGTCCATGTACGGTGTCGCAGCTACTCCTTTTCACAATAAAGTTTAAGTAGCCTGAGCCACGAAAAAGAAAGTATAGCACAAAAGTCATCTCTGCAAGATTAACTAAAAATTTGTGGTGATAACACAGAACGAAAGCGAAAGTGGCAGGGTCGAAGTCTTTTGTTAAACTTTAGACTGACTCGCCCAACTTTACACTCTCCTACAACATGTTTCTTCACAGTGGGCCCTTTTCTACGTCCTCTGTCAATCAACCAAGCACCAACTTTTGTTAACTCCACAGATATTTCGCTAAACTAGCTCGCCAAACGTTACGCTCTCATAAAACACCCCTATGGGTCGTCTCATATGCGTTAAACAGTCGTTCCTCATATGCCATCACAAAATGGAAAAGAACATGTAATCACGGCATCAAATAACATTCCAAGGTCAATTGACACTCTGTGGAAAAACGACACGTTTGCACGAAGCACAGCCACCTAACAACAAAGTACGTTATGTTGAGCCAGTTGGTGCATCGTTATTCCAAAGACGTGGCGAGAGGTTAGAACCGAGAAGAAACTACAAAACGATTGAAAGGACGCCAACTTACAACTCATGAGTTGTGAGGTGCTGTTCTTTCTGTCTGTTCTTGCTTCTTCTTGAATCTAATATTGTACCGCGTCTTTTCAAGTAACCTAACACCATGGTTCACATCAAGTCACACGAACGCGTCGGCGCGAAACGCACCAGTCAGGTCAAATTGAATACACACAGTCAGCTTTCATTCGGATTGTTGTTCGCATTTTTTTTTTCTCTCCAGGGATATCGCTTGCTCCACCGAACCCTGCTGGTCGCAAGGCGCATTGAGCGATAACAGGCGCCCTCTGCCCGAACCAGGTTGGTTCGACCCCGGCGCCTTGTTTCAGCTGAGCAGTCAAATGGGTCACTAAGGGATCGAAGGGAACGAGAAAGGAAAGGAAAGCAGGAACTTAACGGAGCGCATCATGCTGTCAAGAATACAGATTTGCCGTGGTTGGTTTCTCATCGTAACCATCGAGGGAAGTGCCAACATTTGGCCCCGCCAAATAAATATCCTGTTATTTTCTGGTCCGACGCACTGTTACGTGGGATGAAAATGTATATTTGACCTACAGCCGTCACATTTTTCTACGAAGTGCACACAAAAACAGTGTGCATAAAAGTCCGGTTAAACAAAAAATGTATATTTGTATACTCAATTCATTGCCGCCTCTGTCACGCTCCAGAAACAGTAGAACATTGCTTTATTATTTGTAAGGACGCCATCCTGTTACGGGACGTCCTTCACAACTTTTGAAAACAACTGGATTTAAATTGTGATAGCATCTGATACCTTGTACCACCCAAATTCTTAGACATGCACAATATGCCAGTCTACATGCTGTTGTTCATGGGCGTGATGTACAGTTTATGGAAGACTCTTTTGTTGGACAGGCATGCGGGACCAATGGTGTCTTCACGATGCCACTTCGTACAAATGACTGTGCATCTAAAAGACTTTTGTGGACAGCTGCAGTTTCAGCACGACTGCTATACAGAGTTCATGAAGTGTGCTTCTCAAATACCCTTGTAGACACAGTGTTGTATAGGATTTGTTTGCAATGTACATACGCAAACTGCATAAGCAGTAAATACCAAGTAATAAAGAAGACGCGCCACCATGTGGTAGGACATCCGCCTGCCACGCAACCGACCTTGGTCTCAATACCTACTCTGACCCAGGTTTTTCTTTTCATTATTTATTTCATTTGCATCGTTCTGTATTTATTTATCACGCATAAGATGATGATTTTTGCTTACAACCAATGACGCCGATCGACACCGACTCCGGAATTTCTACGAAATGAGCTCTTTAACGCTGCCCCCTTAAATGTCTTCTGTGTGCTCTGAAAGTGTGAGGCTCACTAATAACTGATAGAATAGTTCACAATGACATCAATGTCCACTTTAATGGTTCGAAACAAGCCCCGCCGCGGTGGTCTAATGGCTAAGGTGCTCGGCTACTGACCCGCAGGTCGCGGGATCGAATCCAGGCTGCGGCAGCTGCATTTCTGATGGAGGCGGAAATGTTGTAGGCCCATGTGCTCAGATTTAGGCCCACGTTGAAGAGCCCCAGGTGGTCGAAATTTCCGGAGCTCTTCACTACAGCGTCTCTCACAATCATATGGTGGTTTTGGGACGTTAAACCCCACATATCAATCAATCAATGGTTCGAAACAAACACTACACCATCCTCGATTCAAGCACCAGCCGATGTGTCCAACAGACTATGCAGTTAGGGAGAAATCGAAGAAGAAAACGAAAAATAAGGAAGGCCAACTGGCCGACGGAGGTGCAAGATCACTATTTTATCCCTGACAACACGAGGAATGACATGCCATGACACTTCCCTGAATATGAATATCTGGAAGTAATGGGAAATGCAGAAAATAGAGGGTGGATATAAATATAATGTGAATTCCTCAAAGTGTGGTGTGGTCCTTTGTTTTCACAAAGGACCGCACCACGATTTAAGGAATTTCTTTGTGGACTTCCACACCTTTTAAGAACCAGAGGCCCAGTTTGGGGACAGGCAAATTTCGCTCACCAGATTTTTTTTTTGTCAACCCAAAACTAAATTTTCCAGTGTTCTTGTACGCTTAAGAGCAAAATAAAGAGGTTTTAGATAAATTGACCCGAAATTTTATTATGGAGTCCGAAGAGATTATCTACGCCGGTATAGTTCTCTGCTTTTCTTTAAATAGCTTTCTCTTTCTTTCTCTCTCTCTAGTTTACCATGTGCCCATACATATGCACAAACTGAAGTCATTCAGACAACAAAATCACAGTACTGATAGGTAAAAATGAAAAATTTACTGGTCTGTACCCCCTTCAGTAGCAGTGCGTACAATTGTACAGAAGGCACGCCACGCACCACGTGTTTCTTCAAATAGCTTCAAACTCAGTGTGCACATTCTCGCAAGCTTCATGAGTGGAAAACTAGCAGTCCGATTTCACTTTATCGAGTTGCGTATTGGTGCAGAGAACGACTTTGTGGGAGACACTTGCATGTCGGATGATCGCTCGTTGTGCCGGGTAACACTATACCAACGCCAAGAGTATCCTCTTTCTTCGCTTGAAACAAATGTCGTTGAAAAACAAAGTGTGCACGCATACGGGTCTAATATTTGATTATTTTTATGCTGGAAGTGAAGCTGACTAATTGCAGAATAATTTGATATTTCACTACATGTTATTGAAGGTGACCTACTAAAACTCACGTAAAACAATACATTCCTTTAGTTTATTTTTTGGAATGTAATGCTGAGTGCCTTGGAATCATTCCATGCGAATTTGACGCATTTGCAGAGAGTGATTCGCGCTGCAGGTCGCGGGATCGAATCCCACCTGCAGCGGCCGCATCTTTATGGAGGCGAAAGTACTTGAGGCTCGTGTGCTTAGATTTATGTGCACGTTAAAAAAAACCCGGGGGTCGAATTTTCCGGAGCGCTCCCCTATACGGCGTCTCCCATATTCATATAGAGGTTTCGGGATGTTAACCCCGAACATTCGTTATTATTATCCCTGATTCGCGCCTGAAGGCGACATAAAACGGCAGGACTACAGTCCAATATGGCGGCACCGAAACCCACCCGCAAAGTAGTCTATAGGCACCGCGAAGCGCGAGTGAGATAAGGCGTCCCGCACCGAGGTTCAGCATTCGTGACCCACCACGGCTGACTCCCGAATTGGAGCACATCGATTCGGCCACAGTGCCCTATCGCGAGACGTATATACTACGAGCCATGATACGTGTGGGGACCTTGGCGTCGTAGTCGTCTCGCTATTTTAAGTCTCGCTGTAGATACAGCAGGGCTGCCTCTTTAATGATCGAAACTCGCTTGACCCGCGAGCTTCACGCCTGAACTCCCGTCCAGGCGATGACACGCTAAAGATTTTTTTTTTTGTGGCGCTTTCCACTTTTCAAATGTCGTGTTGGCCTCCATTCTTTAGCTTAATAAGTGTCTTGCCT